CAAACAATAAAAACTTTTATTTAAAAAAAAGTAAGTTGTGTTGACAAAAGTGCCTTGAAATGGAAGTATAACCGATATGGTTAATAGTAATTTAATGTATCTGGGTAAAGGTTTTTTGGTAAACTTCCTAGAATCTGACAAAGTAAATGATTTCAAGTGACTGGATAAAAAGTATTTTAGAAATTCAGGTTGTTTCCAAGTTTTCGCTTTCTTTTTTTTTTTTTTTTTTAATCCTCACCCGAAGACACTTTTCCATTTTCTACTCAGATAGAGTGGGAAGGAGAGAGAGGAAGAGAGAGAAACATCAATGTGAAAGGGGCACATCGAGCGGCCGCCACCAGCACAACCCAACCAGGGCCGGGGACAAACTGCAGCCAAGATACATGCCCTTAGCGGGAACCGAACCCGGGTCTCTGTGGACCGCAGGCCGACACTCTAACCGCTGAGCCAAACCGGCCAGGGCCAAGTTTTCGCTTTCAACAAAAACTGAAGGAAAGCCCAGTCAAGTTATTAGGTGATGCAAACTGAATTAACAAATTGATGATAATCAGTGTGTGGTTTTGGGATTTAACTAAAGTATTGCCGCAGTCCAGCTGCAGCAGGGTCCAGGGGGTCCCGAAGGTGGTGAGGCGTCGGCGCTGGGAGACAGATGACTACACGACTCAGAGGCAGTGTGACACTGTTCCGATTTATTACAAGTTTCTATGTGCTTATACACTTTCCTTTTGGGCATAAATTTAACTTTTGAGGTTAAAGAAGCAGGGAGTTACATTCCATAGTACCAGGATGTTAGTTTCATTTTTGTCAGAATTAATTTATAACTTTTTGTGTTTATAGATACAAAGAAGGGAGTAGAGCAACCTGTAAGGTGAGACAGAGTTTTCTATAGGCTCCTTGTCTGAGATTAATAGTTGATCTAGTTCTGGGTTTTTAGATCAGCTAGTTTTTGATTTACCTCCCTAACTAACTCAGGACAGCATTTCTTATAAAACCTATTCAATTGCAATGATTGACATTTCTTTTGTTCCCTTGTGCGTAAGCACCAAGGGGGACCTTGGCGTTCCAATCCTTCCATGAAGGCAAGCTCCCATAAGGACCATGGAGTCCGTCTTTGTTAACTATTCTTATTCTATCTTTATTATATGCTCCTGCAAAGGGCAAGGGAGGGTCAGGAATCCTTTGTATACTTCTAGCCCCTCTAGGTGGGTACCACAGTTTTCCTTTTATTCAATAAGCTATATAAGGAAACTCTTGAGCCAGTGGGTAGGGGTCGATACAATTTTCTTTTATTCTCTTGAAAGACTCTCTGTCTGGGGAGGAGGCACAGGAGTATAAGGTGCCTCCATTAGTTCTACCTGTTGCAATTCATCCATGAATTGTTTATTAGGGACTTTCGGGGAAAAATTTTTACCTAATTGAATTAGTAAATTATTAAGACAGTCTGGACATGCAGTGGTGAGTGTTTCAGGGGAAGCTGGAGTTTCTTCAGAATTTATTTGAAGAGGCATGATTTCAGATATCTTCTTTATTCCCAGGTTAGTCATATAGAGGAATAATAATTCCCAATATTATAACTCCCATAATACCGATTAATCCCACCCCCATGCAACGTCCTCCTCCTAGAAGATGCATCCTTGAAGCTTTCTTCTCCATATCCTGACTTTGTCAGACAATATGGTTGGAAGAGGATGCGGCAAGTATACTCACGGAATTGTGTGACATTGCTATTAATTTTTCATATTATGCCCTTATTTATGTGAACAAGTTTTTCAGTGTTTACACCTACAAACACGAAAAATCAGAATAGAATATTCATCCTTGGAAACATAAATGGAGTTAAAAAATAGCCTTAAGCATAGCATTCAAAGTTGTTTCCACCCTGGCCGGTTTGCTCAGCGGTTAGAGCGACGGCCTGCGGTCTGGAGGGACCCGGGTTCGGTTCCGCTAAGGGCACGTACCTCGGTTGCAGTTTGTCCCCGGCCCTGGTTGGGTCGTGCGGGTGGCAGTCACTCGCTCAATGTGTCCCTTTCACGTCGATGTTTCTCTCTCTCCCTCCCTCCCACTCTATCTGAACAACAAAATGGGAAAATATCCTGAGGTGAGGATTAAATAAATAAATAACAGTTGGGTTTCCACAAAATTTGAGTTTCAAATCTGATCAATACTTAAATTTTAGTTGTGTGGTTTCGATGTTTTTATCCCTCACACGTGGAAGTCGTACACTCCAGAGCGTCATGCCCACAGCATGTGTAACAAGGTCGTTGGCGACGTGGCTGAGACTGCACGGGGAGCGGACGCTGCACGAGGAGTGCGTTCAGAGGGGGACCGCCGCCCCCTGCGAGTCCCCGATGCCATCCAAACATACAGACGTCACGGTGTCTTTGGAGCGTCCACCTTTATAATTATACCAAAGACGGCGTCCGTTCAGCTCAGCGGGAAAACTAACTTTATCTCAGACTGGAAAATGCCAGGATCCGAGCTCGCGTGGAAAAGGCGGGGCCGGAACGTGGCGGGCGGGCGGGCGTGTGGGCGGGGCCCGGGGCGCGGGCGGCAGGGGCACGCCCTCCAGGGCCCCACCCAGGTGCGCCCAGCTCTCGCGAGAGCGACGCGTGGTGACGCGCGGGCGGGAAGATCGCGTCGGGGGCGCGGGCGGGCGGTTTTGAATCTGGTCCGAGCGCGGGAAACGGCGGTTCCCGAGGACGAGGTGAGCGCCGGGAGTGCCCGACCTCCAAGGGCTCGGGGCAAGGGGCCGGGAAACCGCGGGGGTCGAGCGGGTGAGCCCCCAGCACCGCATCCTCCGCGTGGGCCGCGTCCGAACCCACCGCCCGGCCGGCGTCTCTGAGGAGGCGCGTCAGAGGCGGGCACCGGGGCCCGGGCCTCCCTCCCAGACGGACCCCACCGGGCACCCCCAGCCGGGCCCCGGGACTGACCCCACCGGGCACCCCCAGCCCGGGCCCCGGGACGGACCCCACCGGGCACCCCCGGGCCGGGGACGGCCCCACCGGGCACCCCCAGCCCGGGCCCCGGGACTGACCCCACCGGGCACCCCCAGCCGGGCCCCGGGACTGACCCCACCGGGCACCCCCAGCCCTGGCCGGGGACTGACCCCACCGGGCACCCCCAGCCCTGGCCCCCGGACTGACCCCACCGGGCACCCCCAGCCCGGGGACTGACCCCACCGGGCACCCCCAGCCCTGGCCGGGTATTGACCCCACCGGGCCCCCCCAGCCCGGCCCCGACCCCACCGGGCACCCCCAGCCGGGCCCCGGGCCCGACCCCACCGGGCACCCCCAGCCCTGGCCGGGGACTGACCCCACCGGGCACCCCCAGCCGGGCCCCGGGCCCGACCCCACCGGGCACCCCCAGCCCGGGCCCCGGGACTGACCCCACCGGGCACCCCCAGCCCGGGCCCCGACCCCACCGGGCACCCCCAGCCGGGCCCCGGGACTGACCCCACCGGGCACCCCCAGTCCGGGCCCCGGGACTGACCCCACCGGGCACCCCCCGCCCGGGCCCCGGGACTGACCCCACCGGGCACCCCCAGCCCGGGCCGGGGACTGACCCCACCGGGCACCCCCAGCCCGGGCCCCGACCCCACCGGGCACCCCCAGCCGGGCCCCGGGACTGACCCCACCGGGCACCCCCAGCCCGGGCCCCGGGACTGACCCCACCGGGCACCCCCAGCCCGGCCCCGACCCCACCGGGCACCCCCAGCCCGGCCTGTGCGCGGGGGGCCTGCTAGGGAGCAGCTCCTGGCCTAGAGGAAGGGTTTGCCCCGGGTGAGGGCTCTGTTCCTGGGAGGGCCGAGCGCCGCCGACCGCCAGAGCCAGGCTCGTGCGGGGCCGGGAGCGGCTGGCCGGCGGGTCCCCCTCCATCGGGACCTCGCCGGCTGCGCGGCGGTGGGAGGGGGCCGCGCGCACTGCAGGCAGGAGCGACGGGGTCGCAGCTACGGCCGCCGTTGCCCAGACCGCCCGTGGACGACGTGGTTCCCGCTCGGGTTACACTTTTTCGGAACGTCGCTTATTTTTAAAGTTGGTACCAGCCTTCATGGGTCGTCCAGCTGCGGCCCTGCCGGGCCCAGCTCACAGCTGTCCGGAGTTGAAGGCGGTGGCTACTTAGTGGGGAAGTTGTTTCCTACTTTTGTTGGTTTACTTTAGACCCTCAGATGTGGGATCCTCTGTGTAACTTGGCTCTTTGTCCCCATAATTGTTGCCGTTGGTACCATTAATTTTTCATATTGTTTATATAAGGGTGCAAATTTTCATTTATTTTTTATTTTATTTAATTTTTAGAGAGAGGAAGGGAGAGAGAGAGAAACATCCATCTGCTGCCTCCTGCACTCCCCCGACTGGGGACCAAGCCCGGAATCCCGGCATGTGCCCTGACCCGGAATCGAAATCAAACCCGGACCTCTCAGTCATGGGCTGGTGCCCAATCCACTGAGTCACACCCATGGGGGCACTTTTCATTTATTTTTAAAGTGAGGGGTCCTGTTCATATAAGGGGTGAGGAAAAGTAGGTTTGCTGTGCCATTGTGAAATTCCTGTGAGTTAATCAAGTGATTGTAAGCATAACCTGCCTGTCTGTCCCATACAAACAACTGTAAACCTACTTTTGCCCATTCCTGTACCACTTCATCTTTGGTTGGTGTCTTTCAGACAGGGCCCATCTAGTTCAGGGGATGTCGGTGGAAAATGGGTTTATTAGGGGACACAGGTTGGGAAGGAGCTAGCACAGCCCCAGTCCCCTGACCTTTGGTTCCCCAGGGGTTGGAAGCAAGCACGTGCTGGGCTTGAGCACACCTGATGCTCACACTAACTAGCTCCCAGGTGACCCTGTGCCGTGCTGAAAAACAAGCAGCTGTGACCGGGATTTCATTGATGCCCTTTGGAAAGGTAGAGGGGCTTCCTTGCACTTTGGGATGTTAGTACCAAGTTACATCTTGTAGGAGGAGATACATTTGCAAGTGCAAGTTTCCGTGTGCTTATGTTTCCCACTAGGGTTGCATAGTAAATGCCGGATGAGACGCAGTTTCATGTGTCATGGAAAAACGAGAAATATTTGTTCAAGCGGTGTCTAAGGAGCTGATTGGAGAATTTTTGCAGTTCATTCAACTTGACGTAAGTTTTATGTTAAGCTTTATTGTGATTTTGACTGTTAATGTAAAACATTTTTCTAAAATTATATCCATAAATGAAATAGTCATCTCAGTGAATCCTTAGGGACCAAGGTTTATTTAAAAAAATAAAAGCCAAGTGTACTAATACCTGTCGATGGACAGCTACTCACAAATTGCATTTCCTGCTTTCTTTTAAGAGAAGGGTGCTGAAGGGTGCTAAGAGAGGTAATACTGCGCTGTGCTCTGTTACTCACTTAACTATCTATCGCTCTTTTCTCCGTGCATGGTGAGGAAGACAAGATGCTTCTTTGTTCTCATGTTAGTCCAGTGCTGGTGCTGTGGACCCAGGCGTTCACACGAAGTAAGGGCAGGGAGGGGGAGGGTGATCCCACTGTGGGCAGCTTCCCATCCTGGCGTGAAGGCTGTGGAAGCTCAGCTCTGGAAGGTACGAAGAAGTTAGCCGGTCAAGACACATGGTGTTTGAGCTTGAAGGGTTAGTAGCAGTAAAGTGCAGAAATCCACTGGTATTAGTTTCCAGATAAACTCCCTGCGTGTACATACATTTGTCTCAGGCTCTGTCTCCCAGGATATTCAAACTAGGACAACAATCTAATTTTCATTACCTTAAACATGTAAGTGCTTTCTTGTTTTTGCAAAACCACCTGTTTATAAATCAGAAGGTTCTGGCAACAAGAAGGACACATTAAAATCCTCCTCGACCTATAACTTCCTGATCTCTTGGAAGTTGCCGAGGCAAACTGGATGAGTCTGTGGTCCTCATATAAAGGCAGCACCCCAGGGGCCTCACCAACACCAGCTCATGGGTAATGGCTAAGCCTCCCTGAGAAGAGCAGCTGAGGGCAGAAGCTGTCATCAGATGTGAAGGGAGAGTGCAAGTCTCAGGGTGCAGCTGCCTGGAAGCCAGTGACACAGAGTTTCTCAGCTTCCATGTACCCCACACAGCTGTAGCCACTCAGCGAGATCTTTGGTGAGGAAAACAGAGAAGCCCTTGGGCTAGAAACACAGGACAGACAACGCCTTCCTCTCTGGGGGACCTGTACGTCATTCCCTGTCCATTTTTTCCTTTCTGTTGAGGTACAATTCACATAATAGAAAATAAACTATTTTACAATGTAAAAAAAAAAAAGTGCAGAAATCCAGCATGAGAGGGAGGGCAGGAGCTGAGCCGTCTGTCTTTGCCATGTGAAGGAGTTGAGACTTGGTCCTGAGAGGCATGGGGGCCTGGTGCCAAGAGTGACCTGGGTGCAGGAGAACAGAAGGGAGAGAGGACTAGGGGGCCGGAGAGCAGTGAGGAGGCTGTGCCTTTCCTAAAGGTGGCTGAGTTGGGACAGGAAGAGGAAGGTATGAGTGTCCCGTGAGCTGTTGGGGTGGGTGCCGGCACTATGGATTGACTGGGCACGGGCCGGGAGAGGGCCTGGAAGGGTTCCTGTTTTTTGACTTGGAGAGCCATTCAGTGAGGTCATGAATGTGGGCAGAGACAGGTTTGGGGGAGAAGATGGCTCAATGATAGACGTGTGGAATGACTGCCAGGGGGCGTGCCCAGGACGTGTCCTGTAGGCAGATGGGTCTGCAGCCAAGGAAAGGTCTGGGCTAGAGACAAATTCAGGTTTCATTGGCTCCAGTGGAAGCTTAGTCACGGGAGTGGGTAGGGCTGTCTGCAGTGGAATAAGAAGGAGTCGAGCACAGGACTCCGAGGAGCCCCAGCATTTAAGGCACTGACTACAAATACTGTGGTCTTGGGCAGAAGAGGCAGCTTGGCTCGTTGCGGTCATACACTGGAAGTCAAGTTAGTGACAGCTCGGAATTAGAGAGGACGCTGATAACGTTGTTGCTAGCAACATGTGTGAAATCATTTTCCTTTATGAGAGAAATATGATTTTGTGCTATAAAATGGTATCCTATAAACTTAAAAATAACCGTCAGAAACTGGAGGCAGCTCATCACCACGGAGGTGTCGATGACGGCAGATATGCAGATGCTAGGTGTCTGGATTAGCAGGAGTGTAGGTGCTTTGAGACGTGCAGTATGTGAGTGGTTTTAAGTCCAAAATTGTTGCCACAAACAGTTCCATAGTGTTAAATAAAATCACAAACTAAATTGTGATGATGAAGCTAACTCCATATTAATTTAAAATCTGAAGGCCACATGTGAGTAGCTGGTCGGCACAGGCACCCTGGTGCCATGATGATGAAGCATCCTCAGAGGTGCGGAGAGCCTGGAGAGCGCCAGGGTGCTTGGTGGCCTGGCCTTCAGTCCACTTGCTTGATGATCTGATTAAATTCATTGTATGCGTTTTGGCAGGAACATGCTGTGGAGGCCCCATTGTTGGTGCTGTAATTTTTATTGTTGCTTAGAGTGGGTGTCTACCAGATTTCTCCACAGAAGCTTCATAATGAGTAACCTGTGGGGAAGTAAGTTGAGACTAGGTAACCACCCTTCTCCTCATCTTACTTGCACACACTGGTTCTAGTATCCATTGACGATTCTTTCGTGAGTCATTTGTTACTGTAATGGCTCTAAAATGGTGATTTTCCAACCCCATGTTCCTGCTTTATTTATCCACTGGCATTCTGCAGAGTGCCAGTGCTGCTGGTTATTTGTAGGTGTGCATTATCGGTGTACCCGTTGACTCTTACTCTGCGGGGCTGTAACACTTCTGTCACCATTTTGGTGGTCAGGGTGTGGCCATAGGGATTCCCTCTAAGCTGGATTCGCTGCCCTCTGATAATGGCCTGTATTTGCTATGTCAAAGAGGAGGTGAGGTCATCTGCTCAGAGTGAGAGGAAGTAGTGGTTGGATCGCTGTTTTTTTTTTCATTTTGCTGTCACTTTTTTTTTCTTTATTGACTTTAGAGAAAGGAAGGGAGAGAGAGAGACATCGATGAGAAAGAACATCAATTAGCCGCCTCCTGCATGCTTCCCCCACTGGGGATCGGGCCCATAACCTGGGCATGTGCCCTGAACAGGAATTGAACTGGCGACCTCTTGGTGCTGGGTCAGCGCTCAGCCACTGAGCCACGCTGGCTGGATCGGATCCCTGGTTTTAAGGGTTAGTTGAGAGGCTCTGAAACAGTCTCATTGGCTAATGGGAGAGAATGATGTTTACAGACGATAAGAAGGTGGGTGTTGAGGGCTAAAGCTGGGGTGGAGACCAGAAACTTAAAGCGCACTCAGTCGTCCCGGCTGTGCTATCACTGTAGCTCCAGCACACTTCTGTAACCTACTGCAGACCTGGAGAAGGTGGACATCTGGACGGGTTGGTTTTCGGGAGGATTTTGCTAAGTGGGTGAAATTTTAAACTCCAGAGATTGGGGTGCTGGAGCAGGTTAGGTGGAGGGGGAATCTGCTTTCTGTCCGGTAGCCTGGACTCCTGCTGTGGGGTGGGCTCTGAGAACTGAACCACACTCTGGAACTTCTTGTAACTAAGCCTTAGACTTTTCCTTTGATGCCGTTATGCAAAGGATAGAGCTAATATTTTGTGTTTGAAATATAACACTTGCTGTTTATTTTATAGGAAGATACTTCTGACCCTTTCAACCTACATGAATTACTAGATGAATTATCAAGGAAACAGAAGGAAGAGCTATGGCAGAGGCTCAAGAAGTTACTCACAGATGTGTTGCTGGAGAGCCCAGTGGAGGGCTGGCTAGCTGTGCACGCCCAGGGCGGAGACAGCATGGAAACAGACCACGGTCCAAAAATGGTAGTGCTGGTCTTTCAAAACAAAATATTGCCCCTTTTCTTTGCTAAAAGATAGTTGTTTATTGTGAATAGTAGAATTTTAAATTAAAACTTAGACGCCAAGAGTGTTAGAAGTCTGTTTACTGTAGCTGTACCCCAATCTAGTCGTCAGCGTCGCTATGCTTTCTGGACAACCGACTTGTTTGTGTTCAACTTCGTTCACTTTTTAGAATAAGCTAGAAGTGTAGCCTGATTTTTGTAAGTTTAGTGACTTTTACATTTCTTTTAAAAATGGAATTTTACATTGATTTTGATTGACTTGTTTTTTGTCATCTTTATAGAAAAAATCCCTAGAGATAATCCACGCAGTGACATCTGTGATCCTTGCTTCTGTGTCTGTGCTAAACGAGAGTGAGAACTATGAGGCCCTGCTGGAGTGTGCTGTGATGCTGAACGGTGAGTCCACATGCCGCACGCTCAGGAGCGGGTCTAGACCTCCCTGCCAGGGCCCCGGTGCTGTCGGTGGGAAGTGGCACTGACAGCGCTGCGATCAGGCTCTTTCTCTGCAGCCAGGAAAGGAGCAGGGTGTTCTTCAAGGGCTGCCCTGGGAGTCGCTTGAATTTAAGCCGCATGTGAACGTTTCAAATGGCGAAGACACACACCCCTGAGCAGCTGACCGCCATGTGCAGGTCTTTCAGGAGTGTCCCCCGGGGCCTGCGGGACCAATAAGAGCTCGTTAGGGGGAAGATCTGATTCTGAGCTTCTCGGCCGGGAGCACTGCCAGACAGTTTACATCTCCAAGCACAGTGACGCTGGACTGTCTTCTTTAAATACATTATGACCGCAGGAATAATCGTGGATGCTTGGCGTATTCCTGCACTAACGTTTATGTTGTGGCACTTTTCAAGTTTTAGCTAAACTGTAAAACTGTAGTTATTAGTTTAGGGGGAACACTAGGCTGCATTAATGAGATGATGTGATTATAAAATATTATATAACATTATTTTATAGATATGTCATTTTAAGTAACGATGTTTAAGAAAACTTTCCCATGCGCCCTTGCCCCCACTCAGACTAAGAGCTCCAGGTGCTGCCTTCTCTCGACCAGCTCTTCCTTCCCGGCACCAGGGAGTCCTACATCGGGAGTGCCCCGCTGTAGGCAGAGTTCTTGCATTGCCACTGTGTCTTATTAAGAAGTCATCCTGCCTGGCCAGTGTGGCTCAGTGGACCGAGCGTCCCTTAGACTGACAGGTCCCGGTTCAATTCCCTGTCAGGGCACATGCTCGGGTTGTGGGTGCAATCCACAGTAGGGGGCATGCAAGAGGCAGCCAATCCATGTTCTCTCTCATGTTGATGTTTCTATCTCTTCCTTCCTCTCTCTCTAAAAAATTAATAAAAACACATTTAAAAAAAATAAATAAATCATCCCAAATCAAGATAAAAGCAGCCCCCAAGTGCTTTGTGAACACTACCACCAGTTTGCTTATTTGCACTGTCTCCAAATAACTGTTTTATAAAGTGATTGGTGCTGATATTGTAGTTTCTCTCAACTTTGCATGAATTCAGGAATTTTACATTAGTATGATGGCATTCAGATGTTTGTGGGTTATAATTAGGGGTGCATTATTAGTATTTTAATTATCGAGCTTTTCTGTTGATAAAAGCACTGTACTTTTTATATTCATTATAATAGTTGCTTCTAGTATTTTTTACCAATGAGCCAGAATTGGAGGCCAGCCCACTGAAGGGTGTCGGAGCGGAGCCTGGCCTGCTCTGGGTGAAGTGTAACGTGGTGCTGTCGCACTTCGACCTGGATGGCCTCAGTGTCTGCCTGCCTCTTAGGTTAGGGGTTTAGGTAGCGTGACCTCTCTGAGTCTTCCTGTTCTGAAATTCTCTTTTCTAGTGGCTCTGCTTTTATAAGAGTAGTAAAACAGTTTTTTAATTGACATAATTTGTATCCTATAAATACTGTATATAATAAGCCTTTGGCAAGTCAAACACAAACTAATATTTGCTTAGCAAATCTTTATAAGTCATCCAGTGATTTCCATGCGGTGTGCCACAAAAATAAAAACCTGCAGTACCTGACTACTTAGTCAGGGGCACTGACCTCTTTTCCCTTAGACTGTCAAAAAATAATAATAAATAACAGCCAATACAAAAGCTATTCGGTGTGAATGAATCAAAATTATACCTACTTATTTTTGTCCGATTGGCAAAAAAATATAATACATTTTTCGGTGCCACAGAATTGCAGTAGTTTGTGTGTGTTGTGCAATGGAAATGTTGAAAATTGCTGCCCGGTACTAGCGAGTCTGAATCGATGCTGATTCTCATTACCAATGGAACCGTTTCTGGGCTCTTTCTCAGGCATCTTGTACGCACTACCTGAGTCTGAGCGGAAGCTGCAGAGCTCCATCCAGGGTCTGTGTGTGACATGGTGGGAGAAAGGTCTGCCTGCCAAGGAGGATATGGGGAAGACTGCTTTCACCTTGTTGCTGAGGAAGAGTCTCCAGACGAAAACAGTACGTTTGCTTGTTAAATATGTACTTGACTTAAAAAGTGAGCGTGTTTATACCAGTTAGGAAATGTGTTTCCTCGTGAGTGGCCTGAACACAGTGGCTTCTCCATCTTCCTCGTATGTGTGGCCCTGTCCTCCTTCGTGTCAGTTCCTGGTCACAAGGTAACTACAGTTCTACCTTCTCATGCGAGGTCAGACAGGAGAACGGAGCAGAGAGGCCACCGTCCTGAGACAGCAGGCTGGGTAGCTGCCTGTGCACGTGTGGTCCTCAGCCGACCCGTTGTCACGTGGAGCTGTTTACCTTCAAATTTAATTTAAAGTGAAGCAAAGGGAAACCGGTGCTTCAGGTGGACCTGTTACCTTTCAGTTGCTCCATAGCCTGATGGACTAATGACTGCCACACGCAGACATTTGCAGGAAACTGCTGGACAGCACTGGGTATCTTGGTCTCTGCTTGCTTTGCCCATTTAAAAAAAGTGTTCTCTCGCCCTGGCCAGTTTGGCTCAGCGGTTAGAGCGTCGGCCTGCGGTCTGGAGAGACCCGGGTTCGGTTCCTGCTAAGGGCACGTACTTCGGTTGCAGTTTGTCCCCGGCCCTGGTTGGTCGTGCGGGTGGCAGCCACTCGATGTGTCCCTTCACGTCGATGTTTCTCACTCTCTCTCCCTTCCTCTCTTTCCCTCCCATTCTATCTGTACAAAAAATGGAAAAATATCCTTGGGTGAGGATAAAAAAAAAAAAGTGTTCTCTCTCCCTGGATGGGTGGCTCAGTTGGTCAGAGTGTCGTCCCATGCACCAAAAAGACTGTCTTTTCAATCCCCAGTCAGGGCATGTACAGAAGGCAACTAACCGTTTCTCTCTCCCCTTCCTCTTTCTCTAAAAAATAAATAAATAAAAACATATCTTTGGGTGAGAGTTAAAAAAAGTGTTCTCTCGACTCGCAAGTGATATTTGCAAAGTTTTAAGTCTGTTTTCTCTTGTCATTCTTCCTTTGTTCTAGTTGTTAATCCTCACCCGAGGGTGTTTTTCCTTTGATTTTTAGAGAGAACGGAAGGGAAGGAGGGGGAGAGACAGAGAGAGAAACATTGATGTGAGAGAGACACTTTGATCAGTTGCCTCCTGCAGGACCCTGCCTGGGGTCGGTGATCAAACCTGTAACCCAGGTATGTGCCCTCAACTGAGAATCGAACCAGAGACTCTGGTGTGCAGGCTGGATCTCTAACCACTAAGCATATCGACCAGAGCATCGTTCTCCTTTTTGATAAATAATCTAGAATTGTAATTATTTGTGATATAAATTTCCTTGTAGTTAATTTGAAATATGACCTTACTATATATTGGAAAACTTGAACATTTCTCTTTTTTGTCATTCCCAGGGTGCAGACATAAGGCGACTTTGGCATGTTCATCAAGCTTTATATTGCTTCGATTATGATTTGGAAGAAAGTAGAGAAATTAAAAATATGCTACTTGAGTGCTTCATAAGCATTAATTATATCAAGAAAGAAGAGGTAAATAGGTTTTTCTTTTTTGGTATATTTGTGAACTGCTTTTCAATGAATGTTTTCTCTAAGTTCGCGTGGTTGCTGTTAGCACTGTGCTCAGTGTTGTGATGAGTGTCTTAGCCATCGAGAGCTATTTATTGCACCATGTTTTTACTGCATGGCAGTACTAGGCAAACATTTCACAAGTCATTGCTTATCTCATTAAATCAGATGGTGGGCGGGGGAGGCTGTACAGATCCTGGAGAAACTGTGATTGCTTTTAAAATTAAGAATGATTAAAAATAAGCTTGAGAACGCACTTCCCCGTGGATTAGGTCTGACCCTCTGACTTAATTCCTAATTGGCATATACTCAGAACTGTCATCACAATATTTTTTATTTCTTTTTTCTGCCCATCCAGCAAATACAAAGAGAGGTTCCGGCCCTGAGTTGCATTGTCCATTCTGGTGGTCACACCCTCATGTGGCTACTGCACATGTGAAACGTGGCTCATTGTAGCCTTAAAGCTAAAATACACACAGATTCAAAACTTGTATGAATTATACCAATACATGCCCCATCTTGTTTTTTCTGTATTTCTGCCACCCCACCCCACTCTGGGATTGTTCTGAAGCAAATCCCAGACATCATTTTGAATGGAGTTTTTAAGGGGTGGGGTTGGGACTGACTTGGCTTCTGTGAATGGTGATCTCGTGGAAAGCTTTGATTGAAAGCACTGTGACATGCTGGCTCTTCCTGCCCTTTGGGCTCCTGAATGGAGGGCCACAGCTGTGTGGCCTTGTGGGCCCATCTGCTCTCCCTGCCCACGCTCCGTTCACTGTGGCTCTCATGCTCCAGCCTGAACCTCGAGCAGGAGGAAGCAGGGAGGGGAAGGGCCTGCTGGTGCTTCTATTTGGTGCTGTCCCTCGTCCCTCCTGGGCTGGCGGAGTCACTTGCGCTGACCGCACTGTTGGACACAGACAGAGACATGGGAAGGATGGGGGGCAGAAAGGTGGCTCTGAGATCATTGTCTCTGTAGGTGCGGGTTTCAGTTAGAACAGCGGTTCTCAACCTGTGGGTTGCGACCCCTTTGGTGGTTGAATGACCCTTTCACAGGGGTCGCCTAAGGCCATTGGAACACACATATTTCCGATGGAGATTCATAACAGTAGGAAAATTAGTTATGAAGTAGCGACGAAAATAATTTTATGGTTGGGGGTCACCACAACATGAGGAGCTATATTAAAGGGTTGCGGCATTAGGAAGGTTGAGAACCACTGTTAGAGGAAACAAGGGAGCTGCAAGGTGACATTCACAAATTGCTCAATCTTAAAAAAAAAAAAAACAGTATAAAAAATGTAAACTGTTTCACTAATAATTTTACTTATTATATTTGAATGATAATATTTTGGCTATATTGGCATACATAAATATATTAAAATTAATTTATTCATTTCCCCTTTTTTTTTTTTTTTTTAATCCTCATCCAAGGACATTTTTGCATTTATCTTCAGATAAAGCAGGAGGGAGAGAAGGAGGAACAGAGAGAGAGAAACATCAGTGTGAGAGAGACACATCGACTGGTTGCCACCTACACGACCCCAACCAGGGCCAGGGACAAACTGCAACCGAGGCACATGCCCTTAGTGGACACCGAACCCAGGACTCTGGTCTGCTGGCCGATGCTCTAACCGCTGAGCCAAACCGGCCAGGGCCATTTTCACTTTTATTGAGGTAGTTACTAGAGACTTAAAATTACAGAGCGGCCTGCATAGTTCTGTGGGATGGTGCTGCTGTCTCGGGGTCTGTCTTTGTTTATTGAGCTTTGACTGTGTTCCCATACTGGGGTGCAAAGAAGACTTGCTGGTCTTTAGAATGCAGCCTTTTTGTTTGATTGCTTGTGGCCGGCAGGCATATATTTGAGGCAAAGGAGGAAGCTGTCACTCCTCCCTGAGTGAGGTGGTGACAGACCTCTGGGGGAGGAGTCCCCAGGCTTCCAGTTGGAAGCTCCTACATGGAGAATCTGCTCGAGGCCTCGCAGCCAGTCGGTGGTAGAGACAGGGTTTGACCCGGTCTGCACCCCACTTCAGTGCGCCGTCCCAGCCAAGTGCAAGGGCCGTGCGTGATTGCTGCCACACTGACCAAGACTGGCTTCCAGGGTCAGAGGGCTATGTTCAGAACCTTGCTCGTGCACTTCATGAGGGCAGGCCTTGATCAGACTGCTTGCTTGCTTTTTAAATTTTTTTCCCCTTTATTATATAGAGAGAGGAAGTGAGGGAGGGAGAGAGAGAGAGAGAGAAACATCGATGAGAGATAACATAGATTGGCTGCCTCCTGCACACCCCTCACTGGGGATCAGGCCCACAACCTGGGCATGTGCCCTGACTGAGAACTGAACCAGTGACCTCTTGGTGCAGGGTTGATGCTCAGCCACTGAGCCACACCAGCCGGGCAGATCAGGCTGCTTTCCATCTCTGTATTTCCTTCTGTAAAGTAGTAATAGCAGCTGTGAGGAGCACAGGAGGGGATGATTTAGAGCCCTTGGCACAGCACCCGGCAGGTGCCGCGCTTGCATGAAATGCTCCGATTGTGCTTATGCTGCTATCACAGCGTCCTCCTCGGAAAGGGCTCCGTGCACGTGGCCTGGGCCTTCATCCCCGGGATTGTTAGGAAGTTTGGGGGAGAGTGGATTCAGACACATTAGCGCTGCTTCCCATTGGCTCACACGTAACAGCTGATGGCTTGCACTTGTCCTCCTTATGTGTACCAGGTGCAGGTGTGGCCCAGACACAGTGTACACCAGTGAGTGTCACAACCTTGTTTTACTGACGTGCGCTTTTGAATTTAAGATATCTCAACTTAGTTTCCTAATCAATCATCATTTTGGTTAGGTCAGTTTTCAGTCATTCTGGGTAAACAAAAATATCTCAACTGACAAGTGATTTCCAGTAGACCCTTTTTTCAGAACTAGCCCATTCCCCTGCTGTTTCCGTGAGAGTGCATTGCATCTCCATGGTGTTCTGTAGACAGTGCTGGGAGCAGTGAGGAGGTGCTGTTCCCGGGGAGATTCTTGGTATACTTCATGTACTCTACAGGGGTAAATGTTCTCGCTTCTTAGGTTCATATGTGTAATCGAGTAGCATGAATATAAATTACTACATGGTATGTGCATGCCATTGGTAACTTGGGGAATGTATGTATTTAAAAATTATAGCTTGGCAACTACTTCGCCTCTTCAATTTCTAAGTCTTCAGTTTTCTCCTTTATTAAAGATGAAATGAACTAATGTTCAATTCCATTCCCACCCTGTAATGTGAGATTTAAAGCATTCTCATTTTAGGTTGTGTGGTTACTGCCTGTCTGTGACCCTGTAGTTGAACAAGAAGGGCTCCATGGGGCCTGCTGCCACCCCCTGTCCTGCTGACCCGCTGCTGCTGCTGCAGGGCTCCCCAGCACAGCTTCAGTCTAGATGCCAAGTTGTGATCATATGTCCTTTCCTTGTGGGAAAGGGCAAACTTTAGTGTTACCAAGCACTCAAAGAATCGTTTGCTTTTCACTTATTGGGAACTTTTTATTTGATTTTAATTTTATTATATCCTATTTTCTTAATTTTTAGGGAAGAAGATTTCTTAGTTCTCTCTTCAATTGGAATACAAATTTTATTAAAATGATCCATGGGACCATTAAAAACCAGTTACAAGGATTACAGAAGTAAGTATTAAAGGCAATATTTTGTGCTGTCCTAATCTGGTTTGGAAAGATTCTATTTGACCCAACTTTTATTTATTTATTTTTAATATTTTTTATTTCTTGATTTTAGAGAGAAGGGACGGGAGAGGAAGAGAGAGATAGGAATATCAATGAGAGAGAACACCGATTGGCCGCCTTCTGCATACCCCTCACTGGGGATTGGGCCCACAACCTAGGCATGTGCCCTAACTGGGAATTGAACCAGCGACCTCTTGGTGCATGGGTCAATGCTCAACCACTGAGCCGCACTGGCTGGACTGACCCAACTTTTGAAAGTTATATTAATCTGCACTGGCCAGTTTGGCTCAGCAGTTAGAATGTCGGCCTATGGACCAAAGAGTCGCAGGTTCAATTCCAGTCAAGGGCATGTACCTCAGTTGCAGTTTGTCCCCGGCCCTGGTCGAGGTTGTGCGGGAGGCAACCAGTCGATGTGTCTTTCTTACATCGATGTTTCTCCCTCTCTTTCTCTCTCTCTCTCTCTCTCTCTCTCTCTCTGCCTCCCTCCCATTCTATCTGAAGATAAATAGAAAATGTTCTCAGGTGAGGATTATAAAAATAAAAAAGTTATATTAATCTTTTGGAAGCTTTAGAAATGACCTCTTATGTTATTTGTTACGGTCTGTTTTGTAACTGGATATTGTTTCCCATGTGTAAGAAATCATTCTTTTTCAGTAGCAACATTAAAACTGAGATGTCAAGTTGTGGTCGTTCTTTAGTCACCTTAGTCACCAATTACATCTTAGCCTCTGCCACAGCAAAGCCTGTCGCTCTGGCACAGCTGCTCCCCGCTGCCCAGCACTGAGCCGTGTGGCATGGATGGCATCCTGCAGGGACATTGCAGACACATACCCAGCCCAGGACCCACCTGGAGTGTGGGCCCATGGCGAGGGCTTGTCCACCCACTGCAGGGCAGTGCTGGGTCTGCTCTGGGGCTGGGCTTAGGCTGCCCTTCAGGATGGAAGCCTCACGCTCTGGAGGTGGGCTTGGTGCCGTGTCTCCTTCCTGGCAGCTGTGCGGGTGCCGAGTGGGGATCATCCTGAGTCTCCAGTTACAACGGGGCAATTCACAGGGCACATTCTGTCAGCATGTGCAGAAGTTTGGGTTGAACCAAAATTATTCTAACTATTATTCTAAAGTCAACTGTGGTATTTTAGGGAATTGCTAGCTTGCAAAGTTTTGAAAATTTTATTTAGATTTAAATGATTTTTACTTAAGAATTTGGTTTAGGCTTATGTTCTCATAATTTCACAAAAAATAATAAAGTTCTGGAGAAGCCATGACTGAAAAGGAAGAAAATGGTTTGATGTTGCAGTTCCCTTCTCACAGCTTTCTCCTTTTTCTGCTGATGTTCGGGAACTAGCAGTCTCTACAGTTACTGTGCAGTGAGGTCTTCTTCCCTGGCCTGACTGGTGCATGCTGAAAGTGTGATTCTTTGCATTAATTTTTTTTTTAATCCTCATTCAAGGACATTTTTGCATTTATCTTCAGACAGAGCGGGAGGCGGGGGAGAGAGAGAGAGAGAGGGAGACATCGATGTGAGAAAGACACATCAACTGGTTGCCACCCACATGACCCCAACCGGGGCCGGGAACAAACTGCAACCGAGGTCCATGCCCTTAGCGGGAACCAAACCTGGGACTCTTTGGTCCACAGGTCGACGCTCTAACCGCTGAACTAAACCAGCCAGGGCTCTTTGCATTAAATTTTTTTAAATCTTTTTTTTTTCCCCCTAGATCATTGATGGTACACATCGCAGAAGTTTATTTCAGAGCTTGGAGAAAGGCTTCTGGGAAAATATTGGAGGTATTTCCACTTTAAAATAAGTGAAGCATTAACACTTATTATGTTCTCCCGAGTAGTCATGGAAGAGTGCTTCAGGACTTGTGCTGGGCCCTGTCCACATTGACGGGGTGGAGTATCGGGGCCACACAGACCATTGGCTTGATTTGCCTGTTTCTGTTTTCAATGCAACCACTGGAGAACAAACTTGTACGTGTGGCTCACCTGTCTATGGGACAGTGCTGTGTGGGGCTTAGGCCGCTCCTTTCATCACATGACTTTTGGGAATTCGGAGCTGTGACACGGCAGACCTTTAGTGACTGTACAGTGTCTGTACTAAGGAGATGTAGCCATATATTTTAGTCAATTAAATACTCAAAAATAAATGATCTTTGATATCCTGTACGTTTTTCTCATACTAGGTTCTCAAATGTATTTTTTTTCCTCTGAGAGTAAAATTTTTATTTTAAGTCAAGAAGAGGTCTTTCCTTTTGAGGAGTGGACCCTGAGCTAGTGGCTGGGGCTGATTTGCAGGGGGAAGGAAGGGGCGCCTGATCCCTGGAGTTGGTCTCTTTCCACTCTGCTCTCCTGCTGCAGAAGCTCGGTTTATGTGACCATGCTCATCACTGACTTCTGCTTCTAGAACAAAAGATTATCAACGTCTAGAGTAGTTTTATAGTGCATACTTTTTGGGGAGAAAGGGCAAAACCAGGGCATTATTATGCATTTTTTTGCGTTGTTTTATTACTCTATGAAACCTGTTCACAGGAAGGAATGTGTGTCCCCCTTTTCTCCACTAGTGACTTAAAACATAGAGACATATAATTAATAACCTAATGTTTGACTGGGTCTGTGCCAAGTTAGTGCCAGCAACTGCAGTTCTCCGATTTCTTTCTTCCCTCTCCCTCCAAGTTTCTGCAGCAGATTCTAGACATCCCGTCACGTGTCTGCACTTCAGTTGCCCTCTAGACCGCTGTCTTGTGCCATTGTCGCACGCAACAAGGGGAATAACTCTTGGGCAGTTTAAAAAATAATTAAGCCATATTTAAATTTCTCAGCTTTGTTTAAAAAAATGTCCTGTTTTAAAACTATATATATATTTTTTATTGTTTATTTTAGAGAAGAAGGGGGGGACGGAGTGAGAGAAAAACATTGACGTGAGAGAGAAACATCAGTTGGTTGTCTCCCACATGTGCCCCAGTGAGGCTCAGACCTGCAGCCCAAGCACATGCCCTGACTGGGAATCGAACCCGAGACCTTCTGGTGTACAGGATGCCCCCCAACCCACTGAGCAACCCAACCACGGCCCAAAAATATCTATACAGTTTTTTTCTTCCCAGCAAGTCTCCCAGTGGCATTTGCGTGTGTCGCTTCTCTCAGAGCGGTCTCCTTCCCTCCCTCATCTTTCAAACCTGTGTCATTGGTGCATTGAATAAACCAGGTCATGTTCTGGTTGCTGCTCCAAAGGCTCAGCTCGTGCTCAGATCCTGAGAGGGAGAGCCGTGAGTCCCCTACTCCACATGTCAGCAGTGTGTGTTCCCCACGGTGGTGATGCTGACATTTATCAGTGGCTTCAGGTGAGGAGATAAGTTTCAAAGATAATGGAGAAGTTAATCTTAGTAGGAAAACTTTCTTATATCTTTCCTAAATCCATGGCATCTGGATGTACAGACTAGATAGTCCCTTGGGGGTTTGGGCTGCAACTGGCCCTGCCTGTCTCCCCACTGGAGGACCGTAGTGCCCTGACTTACCCATGATTCCCACGCCCACCCTGCCCACCCCTCTGGCAGCCCTGAAAGTCCTTGTTTCAATCGGTTTGGACTCCTGCCCACACCTTACAGGTAGGTCAGTGTAGTTCTGGGGAGGTCTCTTGGAAAAGACCCAGTCCCCTGAGGCTATCGTGGCGACATTGACGAGGGCTCCCAGACTCACTCAGTCTCTGAGCCCTGCTGGCCTAAACCAGCATTTATCAAAAATGAGTGTCTTACCAAATAAGATAGAGGACGCTAAGCGTTCTCTTTGGTAAAAATTAGAGGTGTACACTTGGAACACACACAGATGTAAGGAGACGGGTTTCTTTCTCGTGCGGTAGAAGAACAGATGAGACCCCTTGTGCTCACATTGCTGCTCCGCCTGTGCTGTGTGTCCTGTGTGTCTGTCCTGTGAATTTGTCCCGTTGTTGTGTGTCTGTCCTGAGAGTTTGTCTTGTGAGTCTGTCCTGGAGTCTGGGGAGCGCATACCCTCCACCTGTCCTGTGTGTCTGGGGAGCACACCCTCCACCTGTCGTATGAGTCTGGGGAGCACACCCTTCGCCTGTCCTGTGAGTCTGGGGAGCACACCCTCCAAGTGTTTATTGCGCTTGTTGTTCCAGACGATTGAAAGCGATTGCATCCAGGACTTCATGTACCACGGCATCCACCTTCCACGGCGGTCTCCGGTGCACAGCCGTGTGCGTGAGGTGAGCCTTCACACCGTGTCTCCTCTTTCTCGTTTTCAGATAACTGTTCTGTTAAATTTAAAAGTGCAGTTAAGCCGTCATGTGCATCGGTGCTGGGGGTTTTCCAGAATCGATATCGCTGTCTGGCAGTGGTGTCCTGCCGCCAAACCTCTAATTAGGGAAGCAAAGGAATACTGTTACAACATCAGAACTTAATTAAACCACCTTAATTAAATTCTTTGACATAAAAATATCCAGAATCATCACTTTCTAACTTCCACTGCTGCTTTTCTGAAAAAAGGGCGATAGCTGAGATTATTATTATTACTTTTACACATTACGTTTTCATTTTGGAATCTGCAACCAACTAGGATAATGTTTTGTTAGTTGCTCTCGGTAAGGTTTTTTAAAAGGTTGTCTCAGAGTTTAGATCTGGACTTCACCGTTGCATTGTAGATGGTCTGACTAAAGGCTCTGTTGTCAGTGCCCTTGTCCCCCTGGCCGGAGTCTGGTCATGGTGAGGACTGGCAGGGGGTGGACAAGTCCTCTTGGTTATGCTGATCAGCTATTCCTTTTGGCAGCTGAGTGGCAAGAAGCTAAGTGGACAAAGGCTACTTTTCCCCCTTTTTTTTCGTTAATCCTCACCTGAGGATATTTTTTCCATTGATTTTTAGAGAGAGTGAAAGGGAGAGAGAGAGACACCTATTGATTGGTTGCCTCCTGCACAACCCCAACCAGGGCTGGGTGTGAACTTGCAACCTAGGTACGTGCCCTTGACCGGAATTGAACCCAGGACTCTTTGGTGTGCAGGCTGACACTCCAGCCACTGGCCCCATACTGACCCCCTTTCCTTTTTTTGAATAATGAAATTGCAATTATTTGTAGAATGTAAATACACTAATTATATATAATGTTTGAATGGATAAGAGGCCATTTCTTTACTGATAATTTAGTTTGAGTTATCTGAAGATAAAGAGCCCAGAGATACTCCCCTCCCATGCCCAAACCAGTGTGGTTCATTCATCTGTGGCCACATGTGGTGTGGTGTCTCGGACTGTGTGCGGTCACAGGAGTGCATCCTGCAGAACTGTAGAGTTCTGACGGGTGCTTCGCTCTTGGTACCAAATGACTGAAGACTTCATGTCTGTTTTCTCTGCTGTGGTCTCTGAGTAATTAAGACATAAGTGTAGATATCATTGTTTGGTAAATTTATGGGAAAATGCACAGAAAGAATTAAAAGGAAGAATACTGGATTTTACTTTTCAAATGAAAGCATCACTGGACTCTAAACAATTGTTCTTACTGCTTATAGCACAGTTTCTTCTTCAAACACTTTTGGATAAACATACAATATATATACATTGATACCAAAACTTGATATTGTACACAAAAAACAAACTATAGACTCATACCACTTATCACATCAATAAAAACTCCTAAATAAAGATGAACAGTCAGGAAAAAAATCTTAGACAATAATTCTTTCAGGGTACAGTTGATTCAAGTTCACTTAAAGTATAGACTGTTGTTTTATAGCCTGTTCATTTTATTTTCCACTTTCTACTTGTATAATCTTAGCCCCTAGAGCTGTGCCTTAAAGAAGTTGAGGTAGGCTTGCTTCTTAGTGGCAGGACGCCCTGGCCAGTGGCTCGGTCGGAGCATCATCCCACCACCAAAAGGTGGCAGGTTTGATTCCCCCCTCAGGTCACATACCTAGGCTGGGGGTTCGATCCTCGCCCCATCAGGTCACATACGGGAGGCAACTAATCGATGTTTCTCTCTCTCTCTCCCTCTCTCTAAAATCAATAAACATGTCCTCGGGTGAGGTTTTAAAAAGAAAAGAGTGGCAGGAAGATTCTGGCTGGAAAGAAAGAAAGGAAAAAAGAACAAAGGAGTCAGAGCGCAGAGGGTAGTCTGTTTCCAGACGGCCTGTAAAGTACCTGGTGTCTAAGTTAAGCTTATATGGTGAAGGACCACTGAGCAGTGACACTCATTTTGAGATAGTGTGTGCCTTTTCCAGATGTCCATCACAGGCTCTTAGACTCAAACAGGTGTAGCCAGCTCGTTTTAGAGCCAGAACAGGCTGTGGAGACCACTTCGCCTGACTCCTTTTCCATTTTACACTGAAGGTTATGAGGTTACGTGGCTGTTGGTGGGGCCTTGATCTTTACTTGCACCATAGGTCGTGTTGGTTCAGTCAGTGAGTCTACACTGTCTGAGTCGTCAGGCTTATGAGGCACAGCTGCCTATCCTGGTGGAGGGAACCCTCCGTCTATGTTGGTTCCAAATAGGATCTTAGATGCTTGTTTTTACCTTTGTTTTCTTCTCTTGGCTCTAGGTGCTGAGTTACTTTCACCATCAGAAGAGAGTCCGGCAGGGTGTGGAGGAGATGCTCTACAGACTGTACCAGCCCATCCTCTGGAGAGGATTAAAGGTGCCCGTGTAGGCAGCCGTCCTGTTTGGACAGCACTGGTCCAGAATTGTAGTGGGCGGCACAGGGCTGGAGGCTGGGGGTTTTGTGACATTTTGGGATGAATGCTTTATTCTTATATTAAAAGCATTTCTCAGACTCGTCAAACTGGGAGTCTGAGTTGGTTCAGTGCGACTAGACAGTTGGAAGGGGAGTAGTCGTCCTCAGTAAACCAGCTGAGATGGGGGGGTTCTGCAGAGCTGGGCTGTGTTTCCTAGTCCCTCAAGACCCCCTGCTGTGACTGGGAGCCAGGATAAAACACTAAGGAGTGTTCAAGTCAACACAGGAGGATTCAACACAGGTGACTGGTGTCAGGGTGAGATGTGGTGATCAGTGTGTCTTAATGACACAAGGTGGGCTTTGAACAAGGAAACGTCTATGTCTGTTGACACTGAGTTGAACTGAGCTGAACCTAAGGAAAGTCACAGTGTGTCTGTTCAGTGTCGCCATTGTCTTTAATTCATAAGGAAGTCTATGTTGAGATACTGGGAGCTTCACTCTAGGAGCTCTACACTGACTAGTTCTTTCAGGGTGAAGTTGATTCAAGTTCACTTAAAGTATAGGCTGTTGTTTGGATGCCGTCTCCTTGGATCCTGACTCACTCCCCTTCATTATTCCAGGCCAGGAACTCTGAAGTTCGCTCAAATGCTGCACTGCTGTTTGTCGAGGCATTTCCTATTAGGGATCCAAACTTCAATGCTGTTGACATGGATAGCGAGATTCAGAAACAGTTTGAAGAACTTTATGTACGTATTCATGTAGTCGAACTCTTTGTAACTTCAACACTGTCTTCCCTGGTGTGCGTCCTGGCTGTCCCCCTGCATCTGCGTGTGCCCTGCCCCTCAGGTGCAGGCTTTCCTTATGCTGACATTCTTCAAGATCTGTCCTCTCCCTGGTGCCTTCTGTGACAGCATGAGCCCAGAGTGTCCTTCTCTTCTTCACCTCCTTTGAAACATCTAATTATAGCTTCATAGAGTTTTTTTAAATCCTCACCCGAGGATATTTTTTCCATTGATTTTTAGAGAGAGTGGAAGGAAGGGGTTGGGGTAGGACATGATGTGAGAGATACATTGATTGGTTGCCTCCTGTATGACCCCAGCCAGGGCCAGGGATCAAACCTGCAACCCAGATACATGCCCTGGACTAGGAGTAAGACACTCTAATTGCTGAGCCAAGCCAGCCAGGGTGTAGTTTTAAAACGTTTTAAGTGTATTCTTGTCTCTCCAGCAGAGAGGTAGTATAACGGGTTAAAACACCCCTAGGTTTGACTCCGCCTCTCACTTAATAGCTGTGTAACTTGGGGCAAGTCACTTCCCTGTCTCTTCACCTGTGAATTGGGGATGTTGATACCGTCTGCTGTGAAGTCGTGGGTCGTATGAAGTGGGACACACTGGGCACGTTCCAGGCAAGTGCACAAATAATACCTGTTGCAGCTGTTTTTTCAGATGAGATTTGGGATGTTAGGGTGAACACTGGTTTCCTAGGGTGTTGTGGGTCTGCCTCAGCGTGCTGGGGAGTGCCGCCCTCTGCCCGCGTCTGCGTGCCTGGTAGCGATGGCTGCCACACTTAGATGTCCACGCTGTTTGTTTTCTGACTGATTATGGAAAGTCTCAGACGTGCAAAAAGTTGAAATTATAGTATGATGTCCCTCTCCAGCAATCTGTCCTTTTCTCTCTCCTTTTCTTTGCAATTTCTGTTGTTGAAGCCAAATTATCCTTTGGTTTCCCACAGTCCAGGTTTTACAGACCTTTTCCCAACAGAGTCATCGATTTGTTCCTCTGCCCTTTGTCTTTCCTGTGAATCGGCAGTCAAGTTGATGAGACTCGTGTTTTTGTGGGGTTTTGTTTGTTGTGTCCGATGCTCCGGGTGCTGTCGTTGCTCCCATCGGGGCGCACGCGACCATTGCCTGGGCTGAAGCATCAGGAGCAGAGCGACTTGATTCTGGGCTCCGTGTGTTCCAGCACTTGGGGAGCTGGAGCAGTTGGTCTCACGGGATGGTCTGCCCGGACAGCACCAGCATCTCTGCACAGCCTCGAACGCTGGGGCCAGTCCTGTGGGTGGGACTGGCAAACGGGGCTCCATGCAGGTCTGGAGGTCTTCTTTCAGTCCTCAGCTGTGGAATGACAGGTGATCAGAGATCACGGGTCTGCATGACCTGTATTTCTGTAACCTGAAATATCTGATGAGTTGTGCGTGTCCAAAGTGCTTATGTGTAAAGCAAATGTTGATATAAAGGGAACTGATTTAAGAGTTTTAAGTGTCTTTCCCCTCCTCCTTACAGAGCCTTTTAGAAGATCCTTATCCGATGGTTCGTTCTGCAGGGATACTTGGTGTTTGTAAAATAACTTCCAAATACTGGGAGATGATGCCTCCAACCATCCTTGTTGATCTCCTCAAGAAAGTGACTGGGGAGCTGGCGTTTGATACCAGCTCGGCTGATGTGCGCTGTTCTGTCTTTAAGGTGAAATTTCAAGTTATATAAGCATTGTTTATTTGTTGTAGAATTATTAGAAAATACAGAAAAAGAAAAACTTAAAAATCACCCATAATCCTACATAGATATAGCACTATTGACATTTCTGTTGTATGTCCTCCAAAGTAAGTTATTATCAACCAAATTAAGTGTTGTTTTTTTAAAATTCTTTTTCTTTTTTGATTTTAAAGAGAGAGGAAGGGAGAAGGAGAGCTAGAAACATCGATAAGAGAGAAACATCAATTGGCCGCCTCCTGCACGCCCCCTACTGGGGATTGGGCCCACAACCTGGGCATGTGCCGTGACTGGTAATTAAACCAGTAACCTCTTGGTGCATGGGTCGATGCTCAACCACTGAGCCATACCGGCTGGGCGGATTTGTTTTTACAAAAATTATCTACTTGAAATAGTCTTCAGTGGGTGAATGGGTATGGGGCGGGCAGGGGGACAGCATTTTAGAATAGGAGCTGTATGTACTTAAAAATGTTTAAGTTAGTATATGTTAAAATATACCATATGTACGTTTTTGATATACTATCAGTACTTTTCATAAGAACCTACAAAAATATCCTTCCTCCCAGCATCCAGTCTCAGTGGTTATCAGGACATGTCTCATCTTGTTTCATCTATAGCCCCAGACATTATATCATCTCATCTGCAAATAGTTATGTATGATCTTTAAAATACAGGTGTCTTTTAAAATTAAAAGACCTTTTTCCTAATACCTGGAAAGAGAAGGGACAGGGCGTATCAGTCTTCCGACAAGTTGGTGCCTGGACTGAGCTTGGGCAGGTCACTCAACTGTCTATCTGGGGATCGCAGGCACGCCCGGGGGTGCGAGTCCAGCAGACAGGCCTGCCCTCTGGGTTTCATACAGGATGGAGTCAGGAGATGCAGAGAACGTGTGGAAAAGGACTGTTGCCATGGATATAAAGGACCGTGGGCCTAAGCTTTGGCCACAACTGGCTTTGGAGCCGCTCCACCAGCGGTGGTTCTGTTTCTTTCCACTCTAGAAATTATTTTATAGCTGCTCTAGTCTTCTTTGAGTGAAACAGTGGATGAGTGATTGTCAGCCATTGAAACCGTACTAATTCATTGAAAGTGTGTTCATGTGCAATCATTTTAGAAGAGTGTTACTTTCTGCAGGTCTTGCTCACTTCACCAGCAGTTCTAGTAAATGTGAACCCGGATGTTTTCTTGCCTGAACCGTGCTAGTTTGCACTCTGATCTTAGTCTTACCTCCCCCTTCTTGCAGTGCCTGCCGATGATTTTGGATAACAGATTGAGCCACCCGTTACTAGAGCAGCTTTTGCCAGCACTAAAGTACAGTCTCCATGACAGTTCGGAGAAAGTGCGAGTGGCTTTTGTGGAGATGCTGCTGAAAGTTAAAGCCGTGAGGGCTGCCAAGGTGCGTGAATAGGTTTCTCGCCTCAGACGTGACACAAGTACATTTGTTTCATCCACAAGAAGGAAAAGCAGATTTAATTTCAAAATTTTAGTAATTACATTTTAAACTAATTGATGTCTGGTATGGTCTACCAATTGTTAATTATAAAATTTTATTTGTCTTGTGATTTTTATTGAAGATTTTAGAAATATTATCAGTGTGTTTTCTTGTTTAAAAACATCCATGTAAGCAGCCCGTACCCTAAATTATATTTTTATCACGTACATGAAAGTTTTTGTTGAAATACTTGGCACATAGTAAGCACTTCAACATTACTTGGGAAAATGCTGGGATAAGATTTCCCTCCCCCCACACTTGACAGAAGGAAGGGAAGAGACTGGTTTTATTATAATGTACATGCATTGTTCTTCAGCTCCACACTGTTCCACTTTGGCTAAGTGTTACTTATAAGGGTCTTAATTCCATTATCATGTGCTGTTATCTGTGAGTTTTTCCCCTCCACAAAATGGTTCTCTGAAATTGACTTTCAACAAATGATTTTGTCACGGCACATGGCAGCACCTCCAAGATGGAGTTCACTCGGATGTGCACCAGACACCCCTGAGTGTGGGGATGGGATGTCTAGGGATGGGATTCTGGGGCAGCCTTATCACTGCAGAGGGTGTATATTGCTTTATGCTTTTCGAATTTCAAACTGAATGTTTTTTTAAAAAAGTGTATTTTGTGTGACCTGCAGAGTAAGAATACCCATATCTTCACCAATCTCACTACTTTGGTACTTTTGTTGCAAATCAGTGGATGGCGCAGTCTGTTTCTGGACTTGTTCTGTCTGGCTCACCTGTTGTCCATCCGGGGCCAGGGCTGCACCCCTGCACCTGGGCGCTGCAGCTCCTGAGTCTGGTGTGTACATCCCCAGCCCCGCCTCCAGAGTTCTTTGCTGCTTGGGTCCTTTGTATTCCCATATAAATTTTAGAATCAGCATGTCCGTTTCAACAGCAAAGCTGGCTGTAATTGTGATTGAATTTGTTCTAACAGCCTATTAAAAACTAGATTCTGAGTCTCAAAGGGAGGTGCTTGGCTTAGTGTTGTTCCCTTTGAACTGTAACTCTGTCTGAAAGGATTATGGAGGTGATGGCTGATGAGGAAATGGAGAGGGCAGTTGTTTTCACTTCATTAGTGGGTCTGCCCAAGAGAGTGGGAGAGACTGGTGAGACAGAAGGAACTGTGACACAGACAGTTTGGGTTTGGGTTTTGTCTTAATGAGGTACTTTTTTCATCTCGATCTCAGCTCTGCAGAGGCAAGGCAGAGTGGTCTGCGGGTGAGGTCTCTGCAGAGGTTTTTCTTGAAAGTCAAGATCAGAGGTTGATGGGCCTGTGGAGAGGCAGCTAGCAGGAATGGGTGGCTGATTGTCACCAGGTTGGAATGTGGGCAGCCTGCTGCCATCCGACACCCAGTCATGCTTGCAGCGCTTGTGGACGTATCCACACAGTGAGGGTCTCCTGCATCCAGCATTGGAGGATTGAGAGTTCCCCTTTCTCTTTACTTCCATTGTGAGACACAGGGCTGAGCGCAGAGAGATCAGAGCCTCGTCTTACTCTCCAAGCCCTGGAGAGAAGGACTGACCATGGTGGAGAATGAAAGGCTCGCGAGTGGAGGTGGGCCTGGAAGGGGGCAGGGAATTCAGGGTTTTTGTAAATTCTGGAAAGAAGGAGTGGTCCTTGGAGCCAGGTCCTTGAGAAAGGAGCTTGTCTGTCTGTGATGGCATTCCTGGTATGCAGATGAGAAACTGTTTCTGCGTGTTGGCACAGGATTACCAACTGATAAGTACCGGAAATAGGATTTGAATATTTCACCATTGAAATCCATTTTCCTTCTGTTCTGTGATATTTTCCTCTTGCCTTGAATTTCTTGCTTAGAAGTCTGGCCCTTCTCTGTGGGCAGTGGCAGGTTTGGTACTTGTGAGCAGACGGCAGTTAGGTCATTTCTGATATGTGCAGCTGTGGTTCCCTGGGCAAGCTGGGGCGGGTTGGGGGGGGGTGCCATGTGAGAGGGGCCTCACAAACCATGTAGATGTTCCAGCAGCCCTGGCTATTTCTTTCTTAAGTTTCCACTTAAGCTTTTTATGTCAAAACTGTTGTACATTTTTGTAAAAATATGTTTTTATTAATATTTTTAGAGAGAGAGAGAGATAGAAACATTGACGAGAGAGAAATGTCAGTTGGCTGCCTCCCACATGTCCCCCACTGGGGACTGAGCCTGCAACCTGGGCATGTGCCTCAGCTGGGAATTGAACTGGGACCTCTCAGTCCATGGGATGATACTCAGTCTGCTGAGCCACACCAGCTGGGCCTGTTGTAGTTCTTTTTTTTTAATCCTCACTTGAGGATATTTTCCTTTTTTTTAATTTTTTTTCTTCATTGATTTTAGAGAGAGATGATGGGAGAGGGAGAGAAAGATAGGAATATCGATAAGAGACAACATCAATTGGCTACCTCCTGCATGCCCCTCTCTGGTGATTTGGCCCACAACATGGGAATGTGCCTTGACTGGGAATTGAACTGGTGACCTGTTGGTGCATGGGTCGATGCTCAACTGCTGAGCCACACTGGCTGGGTTCAAGGATATTTTTCTATTTATCTTCAGATAGAGTGGGAGGGAGGGAGAGAGAGAGAAACACTGATGCGAGAGACTCATCAACTGGTTGCCTCCTGCATGACCTGACCAGGGCCTGGGATGAACTGCAACTGATGTACGTGCCCTTGATCGGAATCAAACTTGTGACTCATTGATCTACAGGCAGATGCTCGAACCACTGAGCCAAACTGGCCAGGGCAGCCTGTTGTACATTTTTAAATTTAGTTTTCACCTTAATGGGCCAAAGGTTACCGTATTTTAGGTTATTTGAAGTGATTAGATTGATAAGCACAGCTATCATTTAAGTTTACTATGCCTCAAGCATGGTGCTAATTAATTATAATTAACCCTCCCAACAGCCTTATACTCAGGTACCTTATACATCAGTGCTTTATAAAATATGGACTTATTAATTGAAGTACTCCAAAGAGTGTCACAGATCCTATAGTCATTTGAAATTTTCTATTTCTTCAAGATTATACAGCTCAATTTAAAAATTTTATTTCCAATTGTATGTATTATATGAGGTGTACAGCACCGTGGTTGGAGAGTCACAAGCCTAGAAAGCAATCACCCCCATAAGTCCAGTGCCCACCTGGCACCATACGTTGATATTACAATATTATTGATTATATTCCCTATATTTTACATCCCCGACAGTATTTTGTAGTGAATTTTCTTGAATGTACAAGTTAATTTCTTTTTTATTATGCCCTGGAAATTTTGTTAAAGTGATTTGGAGATCACAGGAACAATTGATAGGCTCCTTCCGCATGTTTTACACAGTTTTGGAAAATTTGCCCCATGGAGCATATCTTGGTCCGGCTGGAATCAGATTCCAGGCCTGTGTGTCGGCGCCTGGTGAGCCTCATCTTTAACTCTTTCCTGCCTGTGAACCTGCCGGAGGAGGTGTGGTGTGAGCGCTGTGTCACGCTGCTGCAGATGAACCACGCCGCTGCCCGGAGGTTCTACCAGCACGCCCACGAGCACACCGCCTGCACCAACATAGGTACTGCACACCGGCCACCCAGCTGTGTTCTCTGTGAAGCCTGGCTCGTGTCCACCTGCTCAGTGTGGGTCGTTCTCAAGTTCGTGCTTTAATGCATCGCTTCATGATTCCCCGACATGAGACTTGTAATTAGTTGGAAATGTAATTTTATTATTAACAGGTAGTTTTTTTGAAGAAACATGTAACTTAACTATTGATTATCTTAACCATTTTAGCAAAGCTGATTCATGTGATTCGCCAGTGCTTAAATGCCTGCGTCCGGAAGGCCATACGAGAGTACCAGGAAGGGAGCCCGGAGGACGCGGAGAGGGAGAAGGAGAATGTGAGTGTGAGTAGGACACGGGGCTCAAGCCCTGGGCCACGTTACCCATCGCTCCCACAGACTGTGGTGTGAATGTTGGGGCACAGGGCAGGCTGCCTCAAAAGATCCCACATGGCTAGAGTTAAGGAACCCAGGGCTAAAAGCCTTTATAAACAAACCATATTACCCTTTATCAGTTTACCACCCAAGTCCAAACGTGTTTGTTTTCTTACTAATTAGCACCCAGACCTAAGTGTCTGTCCTGTCAGTTCTCTGCAGATCTGCTGGCATGGGGTGGAAACTGCTGCTCTCCTCGCGGGCTCCGCCGTGCTCACGTGTCAGCTAGTACGGAGGTGGGGGTTCTTCCCACCCCAACCTCGGGCATTTTTAAAATTTATTCTTTTAATACTGACACTTCAACTAATTATTTTGGAGAATCATAAGTAATTTAGTGAAAGAATTTTTTATATCTTTAATAGTTCACTATAGAGTTTGGGTAGGAGTTATACAGAGGAGATATATGATTGATAACACCCTACCCCAAATTTTTTTTGCCTTAAGCTCCCCTGTATAGTTTACTTCTGTCTGGGGGTGCCACGCCTGGATTGGATTTGGGACATTACTGCATTTTAGTTAGGTGGTGGGGTAACCACTGGGGTGAGATTCTACTAGAAATATCCTGGGATTGAATTTCTAGGACTGACTTCTATTCAGAATTCTCTTTTAAAAAGCAATTTGTCAAAGGGATTGTTTGGCTGCTATTTCTTCAGAATCCAAAGTCAGAGCATAAGAAGAGCGTGTTCAGGGCTTACACACACGTGTTATTTGTTAGCACTGTCTCAGTCTTGTGTTCCAGCTACGTGCTTGCTTACACTGACAGCAGGCTCTTGGGCTAGTTCTGTGGTGCTCACCTAGGTTAGGAACTGGCCTGGAGAAGAAAGGCCCCCAGGCAGCTTACACTGCTGGAACATGGTGTGCGCCTCGGCCCAGGCGAGCCCTGGCACAGATCTGTCCCACCCCGCTCCTGCCCTGTGTCCACCACCTCTGACAGGCTGACAGGTTGCTCAGGGCTCCAGTGTGGCTTTGCTTGTTCATTGGTCTCAGGTAGTATCCCCTTTCTTCCTGCATGGCTGCATGTCAGGAGGAAAGTGCTGCTCACACGTGTGCCCTTGGACTCACATCTTCTGTGGCCACCTCCCACCGGCCTTTTCTCTGTGCAGTCAGGGGCTACAGATTTTGGACAGAGAGAGAAGAGAGCATAAAAAGAGTGGGTCTGCACTTTCTCTGAGCAGTTGCCCTCAGCAGTGGTGCATCAGCTCACAGGCTTCTTCAGCCTGGATGGGGAAACCTTAGCTAGAGCATTTGAGCTGGTCCTGCTTTCCATTCCGGTGGGATTTGAGTTCCTCTATTCAGGGCATTTCCCTCCATATATGGATTGAGGGGGCAGGATGCCTCAGGGAAGTGACCCCATTGCTAATACATCTTCAGAAACTTCAGCTGAAGATGCCAGCATGGTGACACCCCCATCCACAGTGCGAGGGGCTGCAGTGTGGCTGTGGGCATGGTGACGGCAGAGCGAGCAGAGCCTGTCTGGGCCTTGCAGACATGTGCTGATGGTGGGAATGGTTTTGCCAAAGAGCAAAAGCATATGTTATTCAGTAATAATAATTGAGACTGTTATGTTTCTTAAATATTGAAGGAATCCTCCAGTCTCATTATTAAAAATCTAGACGCTAATGAGAAAGTTTGCATTTTATAACATACTAGGTAATTTTCTGTACCATTAGAAAACACATGGGTTTAGAATTATGTAGTTTTGTTGTAAACTATGCTAGAAAAGAAATACAGTTTGTCATATAGATATTCTAAGACTATAAGGCTAAAAGGAAAAGTTTTTGAAGTGTTCTTTTACTTTTTCTCATTGCTATCTGAAAAATTAAATCTGTTTCTGCTAAAATACAAAGTTGGCTTCCTCTTTAATGAGATCTCACTTAGGAACTTAGCACATTTTTGTACAAAGTGATGGCTTCTATGAGACTTTCATGACAAGGCTGCTATGCTGAATATTGGAGCAGTAAAAGGGAGAACGAAATATAAAATGAAATCTTGTTAATCTGTTATTTTTATCGTCTTACAGTAAGACTTTGTTAGGTTCATTGCTTTATATTTGGCCAAACCGCATTCAGAATATTAAGTGCCTGTTGAAAAATACAACTATATAGAAACTGCTTTTGCTCCTCCTGTGTACCCTCGTTAGTGAGGCTTACTGTTACATTTGAGCAGATGCGCCTGAAATGAGTTATCCTGTGCATCTCCAGCCGATGCCCTGTCAGGACATGGTGTCAGCTACTTGCAGGTTCTCAAACTGTCTGCTGTAGTCACCACGGGCTTTGGCAGTGTGTCTGGGTGGGGGCGGGGCACGTACCTGTGCAGCTTTCAGTGATGGCAGAAGAGGGTTGTACGAGTGCCTTAGTGGTTCAGGCCAAACATTCAGGTGATAAACAGCAGTGATGTTGCTTGCTCAGCATACGTTGGGAAGCGTGAATGGATAGAATTTAGAAACAAGCCCAGGAAGCCCATGGTGAGTGGGTTGGTTGTCACCAGTCACTACAGCAGGGTCTGGTGTCGTGCTTCCCAGCCCGTGGAATGGGTGTCTTGCCGTAGTGATCACCGTGAGCGAATCAGTGTTCACATCGAGGTGTGTGGTGAGAGGGGACATCCTTTGACCAGTCAGAAGGCATAATGAAAGAAGAAGCGTGCTTTCTACTAGTGTATCATAACCCCAGATGGTAACAGTTGATGCATTTTGATGTTTAGAGGATTTTTAATTGTTTGTTGAAAGGATATAAGGTTAATTTAGAATGTGTTATTTCTTGGGTGGGCTTTTAAAAACAGATTTACCTCTTAGAAATTCTCAAATACAGAGTAGACCTCTGATGTGAAAATAAGCTTGATAGTCTACATTTCTGCTTCAGGTCTAGAATTCTGAGAAGTGCTTTTAAAGATAGTGCTGTTATCTTAGTAGTTGTTATGATTTGATTCTTTCTCAATAAAGTCATTTGCATCTTAGGTTCTGGACAAAACCCTGTCCATCAGTGATGTTGCATCCATGGCAGGTTTGTTAGAGATCGTCGTGATTCTCTGGAAGAGCATTCACAGGAGTATGGAGAAGAACAAAGAGGCCAGACTCTATACCATTGACAAGTTTGCCTCTGTGCTTCCCGAATACCTGAAGGTGTTCCAGGTGAGACTGACAGGGAGGCTGGCCTCTGGGCTTCTCGAGGGCACAGGCCATGTCCCCTCCATGTCCCCAGCACCCAGGGGAACGTCAAGGGCAAGCACTCGGTGTTTTTTGTCTCTGGTGCTCTGTGACACTGTTTCAGAATCCAGTGGCTTTGCTGGGAATCGAGAACGGGAGGTCTGTGGGCAGTCGCAGTATGGATGTCACACTGCGAGCGAGTGTTTCTGAGGGTTAAAGCTGTCTGTTACCCAGGCAGAGAACCGTGTGCAGCTGTTTCTCTTTGGACGGAGGAGCCTTCTCCCTCCTCGACTTTTTTACTTTACTTCTGAAGGAAGTTTGTATTTCAAAAACAAATGAGAACTAGACTAAGAGTTTAAAATGCAAATTACTCCCAATTATAAGGAGAGAATGGTGTGACTAAGGAAAGATATAGGACCTAGGAACCCCTTCCCTTAGAAAATTTACTCTCGGTTCTGTGAGCTGTGTTTTTGTGACTGACACGCCTCTGAGCTGTACTCCGCCTCTGAGGTGCACACTGCCTGTCCACGGAGTCAGTGACCTGGGCCACCGAAGCCACTAGCACATGTAAACGCTCTCATGATTCCGTTGCACTGAGAAACCAGCACTATCTCAAGGATCTCAGAAGATAAACGTTGACGCCCATGGGGCACTGGGTGAGGTGACAGAGCAGTGTGGCTGGGAGTATCTGGGAACCCAAGGGAGAAGCAGTTAATTAATTCCCTTAATTCCAAATGATTCTGGCAAGGGAGCTTCTCTACCTGCGGGAGCTCAGAGAGCCACGTGGCCACCTGTAAGGGAACGAACAGTTTATGGAGTGGACTCCTGCCTCTGAGTGGGACCAGCAGTAGTGATCGGTTCACTTTTGTAACATTGAGAAAGTATCTCCTTTCTTTATTGGGGAAGGGGTGAGTTCATGTAACGGACTGTAGATTATTACAGATCATATTTTGATGTTGCTATTTCAAGTGTATTTTTAGGAAAGTGGGTTTTTTTTTATTTGGGATCCACAGTTCCTCATTCTCCCAACCTACCAAGGATACTTGTGTTCTGCTGCTGTAACGCAAAGATCAGTAGTGTAGCTACAGTTCATTGAGCACCAGGTGTGCTGTGCTGCCAGGTCTGCTGTGCTCGGTGCGCACAGTTCTTCCCACGGCCTTTCCCACTGGGCGGAGGAGGGAACTGTTCCAGCCCATGCGCTTGTGGAGTCTGACTGGACGCAGCGCCACAGACCATCTTTCACGTTTCCCATCAAACTGTCCCATCTGCCTAAAGATACTTGGGTTACTTTACTGAAAAATTTTGCTCTGACAAGCTTCATTCTCCTGAGCTTTATGTTCAGGATACCAAGTGCACCAAGTTTTTTCCCTTTTGTCAGTATTGTTTTTACAATAAAATGTCAGAGCCTCGACAATAAGAAATCTCGTGTATTCTGGTTACTAATGTAGCCCCAGGCTCTTGATTGGTGCCTGGTACACAGTAGGTACTTAATAAATACCTGCACAAGTTAATACATCACACAGAGCAGTGTTATTGTGGACTGAGAGGAGCTGTCAAATGTGAGGCTCTCCAGTAGGTGTCAGTTCTCCATTGAGCATGGCCAGGGTTACTCACCGCAGCCCCTGCTGAGCCACTCTGAAAGCAGGAAGCTATATGGGGAGGCGTTCAGAATGTCATAGTGTTGAAACACTCTCGTTTTGTCTTCTTTCAGGATGACCGCTGCAAGACCCCTTTATTCATGCTGATGTCATTCATGCCGCCTGCCGCCGTGCCTGCGTTCAGGTGCTCTTCCGGCAGCAGTAAAGCGGGAGCCCTGCCACAGTTGTACTTGTCGCTCCGACTCTCAGCAGACTGTCCCGCTGTAGCTTTGACTTCTCAGCTGCTCCTTCCTGCGCCTCCCTCCCTCTCGCTATGCAGGGGAGAGCAGGGTGCGATTTCCCTGGGCTCTGGAGCTGCCCTGGAACCCCATGGGCACTGCGTGCATGGGGCTAGAGCTCCATGAACATTAAGCTCAAGCCCGACACACTGAGACACTAGGGCTGTGCCGCTGTCCACCATGGTGCATTGGCCATGTGGCCATGACACGTAGAGCATGGCCGTCGGGGTGGAGAGGGCTGTGAGCGCAGCGTGCACATGGACTCGGGGGGCTTGGCATGGCAGGGAGAATGTAAGACGTCTCCTCGGTGGTTTACTTCACTTACAGAAATTATCTTGTGGGTAGATTGGGTTAAATGAGAATGTTATTGACATTTTTTCTGGCCATGGAGAGGGTCCTGTGACAGGAAGGACTGTGTGCCCTTAGTTCTTAGCTCCTCCGTCTTCCTCGCCTTCTCGAACAATGGGAATCGCTGCTGAAATGTTTGGTCTGACCTTGTGTTTGCATATTCAGCTGCAGTGTGATTTCCACATTGAGAAACCAAGAGGAGGGAGCTGTGGACAGGAGCTACTGCACGCTGTTGGACTGTCTCTGTTCTTGGGGACAGGTGGGACACATTCTGGAGCTCGTCTGTGACTGGCTGCCAGAGGAGCCGCCCCAGAGAAAGGTGTGCTTGCGTCGCATTTCTGTGTCTGCCGGCAGGGTGACTGTCAGGGCGCGCTCTCCCGGGCCCGTGTGTCATTGGCTGCTCTTCTTCTCAGACCAACTCGGCATCTAAGCGGAAAGTGCAGATCCATGACCCTCGCCCCGCGAAGCCGGAGTTGGCGTTGGTTTACATAGAGTATCTGCTGACCCATCCGAAGAACCGGGAATGCCTGCTCTCTGCTCCCCGGAAGAAACTGAACCACCTTTTGAAAGCACTTGAAATGTCCAAGGTAACTTCATAGAGCAGATGCAGACATGGTGAGAGTTAGCGACACCATGTAATAGTAGCAGTGACAAAGTAAGGTCTGAATTGTTGACATTTATCGTGAAAGTTTTCCCAGCTGGAAAGGAGTGGAGAGCTGTCTAGTCCCCTTCCTCAATTTTCAGACGAGGACATGAGATTCAAGTGACTGAAAGGTGTAGGAAGTAGGGCTGCCTGTGGGCTCTAGGAAGGGGACGGTGTCCCCTGGCCCTGCCTCCTGTGACATGCAGGAGGGACGACCCTCCCTCTGCGTTCCCACAGCCAGACATGGCACTGCTCCTGTTAGGCGTGCAGTCAGGGAGCCAGGCTGTATGAGGAGAGACCTGTTCCCAGGAGCTGCCTCTCTCCTATCCTGACGGCTGTCTTTGCCCGTCCCTGAGGGCAGGTCAGAATTTACCCCAGGGGCAAAGGCTTTAACATGCTTGCTCCTCAGCCTCCTGAAGCAGAACTTAAAAGTGATTTCTTGTCCGTTAGTGGGAGAGTCTGCAGGGGCAAAGGAAGGGAAGATGGTGCATGTCTTGAGCTTGGCTGTGTGATGGAATCACTTGCCCTGGTGCAGCTGTGTCAGGTGCGCCCATTGTCCTCGCCGTGTGTCAGTGGGGCCATGGCCACGGGTGTTTCGTTACAGGTGGACCTGGAATCAGTCCTGCAGTCACCGGGTGGGAAAGCTGAGCACTTTAGTGAAGCGACAGCCCTGCGAGCCTTCAGCCTGCACTGTCGGCTGGGCATCCACTTGCAGCACAAGGTGGGTCCCTCTGCCTGGTACCAGGGAAAGAAGCACCTGCCAAAGCCAGTTCCATCACTGAGTTGTCTTTCTGTCGTTGCACAGTTCTGCTCAGAAGGAAAAGTTTACCTGTCCATTTTGGAAGACACCGGGTTTTGGTTGGAAAGCAAAGTTTTATCTCTTATTCAAGATCAAGAGGAAGAGTATCTAAAGCGGCATAGGGTTGTTTATCAGCAGATTATCCAGGTGAGAATTCTTACCACAGTGACCTTCCTTATGGGGTCTGTCGGGTGTTTCAAGACCGCTTTCTGTTTTAAAGTTGTGGCTTTAGACAGCAGTGTTGCTCTCCTGAATACTTACAGTGGCATTTGAATATCTAGAATTTATTCTTTCTAAAGCATAAACTTTGCATATTTTTTTTTTTTTTATCCTCACCCGAGGACATTTTTCCATTTTTTGTTCAGGTAGAGTGGGAGGGAGAGAGAGGAACAGAGAGAGAGAGAGGGAAACATCGACGTGAAGGGACACATTGAGTGGTCGCCACCCGCACAACCAACCAGGGCCGGGGACAAACTGCAACCGAGGTACGTGCCCTTAGCGGGAACCGAACCCGGGTCTCTCAGGACCGCAGGCCGACGCTCTAACCGCTGAGCCAAACCGGCCAGGGCAACTTTGCATATTTTTAATGTGATTTTTATACATTGCATTGTGATAGGTATTCAGTAATGTTTATGGAATTACATAAAAACGTAATAGATTTCTTATGGAAACAAAATGAGAATTAAAGTATCTTTATGGAATTTTTTTTCAGAACATCTTTGTGCATACCTACTGCATGGGCTAACAGATAGTCGGTCCATCAAGCTGTTAGAAGCATTACCAGCTAGACTCCCTCCCTTTCTTGTCCTCTGGCCCTTGCTGGTGCGTCACATCTGCACTTGTCTTTCTTACAGACGTACCTGACTGTGGGCAAGGACGTGGTTATGGTCGGCCTTGGCGATTGCAAGTTTCAGATACAGCTTTTACACTGGAGTCTTGAGATCATGCACACGGGTACGCGCCATTCCTTAAAGGACAGGTTAGGGCAGTTGACAATCAAAACTAGTCCCTCCCTCCCTCCTCACAGCTGGTCATGACTGTCGCTTTAGTGACAGATAATGGAACACAAACTAGCTCATACCAAAAAAGGGATTTACAGGCTGATGCAGCCTGGAAGATCAAAGGTGTGTCTGGCATCAGACATCAGTAAGTCCACAGTTCCTGGCGAGGCCTCAGGGTCTTCCCACTGTGTTTGCTCCTCATTTGCTTTGCCAGGTGTGGCTCCTCCCTGCTCTCAAGGGCAAGGGTCACAGAGGGTGCTCCTTGTCTGCCCAGCCACAGGGGCTGTGAGTTGGGTTGTTTCATGCCCCCAAAACCACTGGGAAGGAAGTTGCCATTACCCCAAGGACAGGGTCACCTAAGAACAAATACCCTCCTTCCACGCCGGCTGTGCACTGGTGCTCAGTGAAATGTGTTCAGTGAGTGAGGGGGGGCCAGCCACCTGGGCCCAGCGATGGTCTGGATCATTGGTCTGCATTCTCACGGCCCATCACCTGGTAACAGGAGGAGTGGGGCTGTGGTCACAGTCAGGTTCAGGGAGTGCTGCCGGCTGTGCCCCCGCCCTGGGGGCACGTGTTGTGTGGAGGGGCTGAGCTGTTCCCTGTGCTGGTGCTCGCCCGGTCCTCCCAGGGTGGAGGAGAGGTCATCGTGGAGCAAGCCAGCGCCGAGCTTTGGAAAATAGGTTCCGGGAGTCCAGCACTGCTGAGGTTAGCACGTGTGGCCCTGCTCCCAGCATGCGGACCCCTCCGTGGACCCTGTCCTGCAGGGCCTTTGTGTTCGTTCCTCTGCCCCCGAGGTCGACACTCGGGCTGCATGGCCACTCTGCTGTTCAGAGTGTGTTTCCTGAAATTCACCTCAACTACAGGTTACACGTTGTTTATTTAACATATCCACAGTTCAAGACTAAATGTTAAATAGAAAAAATATTGCTGTTAAATTTAAAAAGTTCTTTTATTGATTTTAGAGGGGGCGGGGGGTGGGGGGAGAGAGAGAGAAACATCAACGTGAGGAAGAAACGTCGATTGGCTGCCACCTGCACTTCTCCCAGGATCGAACTGGCAGTCTGGGCCAGTACCCTGACTGGAATCAGACCTGTCTGCTTTTGGTGTGAGGGGACACTACTCCAACCAATTGAGCCACCTGGCCAGGGCCAAATATTGCTTTTGAAGTTTGGGTTTTTCTTTTCTTTGTTTAACCCTTTTTAACTCTTACTTTATATTGTGAAAACAGAATCTTAAGCTTAATTGTTGAAACACTAAAAATGATTTGCATTTTTTTCAACTTTATTTTTCACTTAGGAATTATTTTCCCCAAGCACTGAATCTTTTTTAGTATTTATAAAATTTACTTTATTGAGGTGCTAACTAGAATTTTAGATCCTCAGTGTTGCCACTTTCACTACGTAGAGGTGTCTGTTCCCCCAAACAAGAACCTAGTTTAGCAATTTTCAGCTGGTGTGCTGCAAGAATTTTTAGAACATGCAATACCTGACTACCGACTCGGGCATTGACCTCTTTCCCCTTATATTGTTAAATAAAACAATGACAGCAGCCAACACAATAGCCGCCTAGTGTGAATGAATCAAAATTACTCCTTTTTTGTGTGTCAATACCGTTTTTTGGTGGCAGAATTTTAGTAATTAGTGTGTGCGAGCCATGAGATAAAAAAGGTCGAAAATCACTGCCCTAAGCTACAGATGGGATCTCTGAGCAAAATGAACTATTTGTGCTTGTGCAAAGGTTTGTATTTATTAGGTCTTCCCAGGAGAGAATCGACTGAGTGGTCATTCTTGCAGTCCTGTCAGATGGGGTTGTGCTGAGCAGTTCAGCCAGGTAGACCCAGAGTCTGCTGTTCAGTGGACTAATGAAACATCTTAATTAAAACACCAATCTCCCATATATCATTAATAATTAAGCACAGCCTTCTCCAGGCTGGAGTGTGTGCTCCAGAAGAGATGTCCTTGGACACACATAACTACAGACATCTGAGCTCACAGGACTGTGGGACTTGCTGCGGCAACACAGTATGTGTGTTCAGAAGCAGGGATGGGCTGTGCGGCAGGCAACCTGGGCTGACTGGCTAGCGGGCTGTGTGATAGCTCCGAGAAAGGACAGTCCTCGCAAGAATAGCACAGTTGGAAAGGAAGGTTACCTTTCTGATAAAGGTTACGGCAGGTACATGACTGTGTCTCGATGGTGAGCATGGCCACTCCAGGAGGACCGGGGAGCCTCAGTGGCTGCCTGTGAGCAGTGCCTCCCGAGAAGCAGGACTTTGTCCGTCTTGTTTCCGCAGTGGTGACTTTTGACATGGCTCCAGGAACTTGTTTATGTTCCTGAACCGCTGTCTGTATGTGTTTGGTTCTGAGGCACATACTACTTGAATATAATGAAATCACTTTGAATGAAAAATGTAACTTTTCAGTTTTGTCAGTAATTGGAGGTATGAGTTAAGGGTGTGGCTGTCTCCCACGCCTGCGGTGGCTGCAAGGATGACCTCCTGTCTTCAGGGCCTGTCATCTCGCACATCGGCTGCTCTGAGCTGCTTGTGCTTCCTCGGGCGCAGTGCTCCCTCCCCTGCCCCACTGAAGTGACGCCTCTGTGCAGAGGGTGTGTCCTTGCCTTCCTTTAAATAAAAGGTATCAGCCACTTTGTTGGTTCTGGTAGTGCCAGACTTGAAGGGTAAACCACTGGAACACCACTGCTTATTTTATTGACGTTAGCAGATAAACTTGGGTTTGGGGTGAGCTTCTTCCCTATCTCAGGTAGAGCTCACAGTACCTGAAACAGAGATGAATTCCAGATCTCTAGGATGAGCTGTAAGATCAGGCTCACACTTGGAGAACATTTTCCCAAATTAACAACGCAGGGAAGGTGGGCATTCCGAAGAGAGAGAGCACAGGGCAGTGTTGGAGCCCGACCATCACTAGTGGGAGCGCTCGTTGTGGTCTGAAAGCTCATGGGCCATCATCTGGGGCGTGGTTTTCAGGGCCTGAGTCAGGGATGCTGTTGATGAAGGGATTGGCTTTATATTTAAAGGAACAGATTTTATTTATGTTATAATTTATGTTAATCTGATCAACTTGCTGTAGGCTTACGAGTATAACCTCTAACCTCTGTGAAGTTACCATAAAACACATGTGTTAACTGAAAATATGTAATAATTTCAACTGAATTATGTGATTAGATAACTGATTTTTCCAATTTTCTTTCTAGTGAAGGGATTCTTCTATGTTTCATTACTCCTTGGCATTCTGAAAGAGGTAACTGGAAGTTCCATGAAGCAGAAAACAGATTCAGATGAAGAAATCGCAGCTCTGTTTGATATGGTCCAGAAAGTCTTTCAGAAAATGCTGGAGTGTATGGCTTGGAGCTTTAAGAAGCACCCGGATGAAGGCCTGCGGGTACTCCTGTCTTCCCAGGGTGGGGTCAGACATCAGACGGGCGGGGCACGTGCAGTGTGTCTGCCCGCGTGCTGATTGTTAGCACTGCACGGGCCATCCTTCAGCTGTGCTCACCAGCCTTCATAGCATGGTGGGGCACACTTGGTGTGCAAGACAGTAATAGCCACACCTGGGCGGGAGGGGAGTCCGGGTTTGACTGTCAGCCTGGGAACAAGTGTTCATGCGTTGAGGTCACAGACCAGCAGTGAGGCTCACCTGCAAGCGGACAAGAAGTAGAGAACTCATTGCAGTAGGATCCTCAGTGCTCAATTGCTGTTAGAATTTTCCACATGAAATATATTTTTGAGAATGCTAGTTTGATGATGTGTGGATGACAAGACTCCCTAATGAAAAGGTCATGTCCATTCTGGCTTACCCTCTATTCACATGCCGAGCTCCACAGGTTGTAAGTGAGAGGAACAGCGCGGGCAGCCCGTGTTCCCTTTGCTGGTTGGATGTGGAGTGACCGTTGCTCGATTTGCTTTACTCCTAGAACCATGTTGTCATTGGAGAGTGTTACTGTTTTTCTAAGTAGTGGTTAAAAACAGGAATTGGCTGCTTTTCAATTAAGATTTTTTTTTAAGTTTATGTAAAAATTTATTTGACCAAAATGTAGAAAAAGTGATACTATTACATATAATACAGTTGCAAGAATCTAAATGAAAAGTGTAGGTCAATGAAGATTTTTTTAAATGCTTACATGGGAGGGTGTTTATGAAATGTTGAAAACTCAACTTTGCTCTGTTCCTAGCTGACAGGTAGTTGAAAGTTGGCCATCTTTTCTCTAGCCTAGTTATATTTGAATTAATGTGAGATGTGTTTTTGATGAGTTGGGTCGAGTGTGAGTATCTGTCATGTAATTTGTGCCAAGACCTTCACTGTCTCCAAGTCTGTTCCCGCTGGCTGAGCCGCGGGTCAGAGCGTGGTGCTGGTGGTGTTTCAGTGTCGCTGCTGCTTCTGCCTCTTCCTCTCTGTTGGTATCATTGATACTCTTGTTTGTGGGGTTTCTTCTCTGCCTTTGGGGAAACAGTGGCAGTCAGGCAGTTTCAGGTGGGCTTCTGCCCGCCTGTCATCTTTGGGCAGCAGCAGGAAGGAGAGGCGGGCGTCAACCAAGGGCAGACGGGAGCTCGTCAGGCTCACTCACTTCAAAGGGCTATTTTCTCACCACTGATGGCTGATGTGCTTTCTCGTAGCTCCTGTACTCAGTCCAGACCCCTCTGCAGGAGTTTATAACGGCCGTGCAGTCTTGGCATGTGGACACACCCGTTCACCGCAGCGTGCTCTCCACTCTGATAGCGGCCTCTGTCGTCGAGATAAGTCACCGACTGCGAAAGGTGAAGTTCATGGTTCTGAGATTTCTGTTTCTTTTTGACTCTATCGGGTGCTCTTTTCTGCCAGCAGCATATTTTTTATGTTTTATTTATATTTATTATTATTATTTTTTAATCCTCACCCGAGGATTTTTTTACATTTATCTTCAGCCAGAGTGGTGGGGGGAGAGAGAGAGAGAGAAACGTCGATGTGAGAGAGACACATCGACTGGTTGCCACCCGCATGACCCCAACCAACCGGAGCCGGGGCAAACCGCAACCGAGGTACATGCCCTTGGCCGGAATCGAACCTGGGACTCCTGGTCCATAGGCCGACGCTCTAACCACTGAGCCAAACCGGCCAGGGCGCGTTTTCTGTTTTAATAAGTATTTGTAAGAACTCAGTTTAGTGGGGGGTTTGCTTTTCCAGCCACTGGACCTCACAGGTAGTCTGTATTTTAGAGTCATGTAACTATGGGAAAACAGGCGAAGGATGTTTTCATTCTTGATTAAAACCAAACTGGTCCTTCTTCTGTGAACATTTCTTTTTGCCATATTTTAGAGATTTAAATGCGCTGATACATTTCTTAAGATTCCTTTCTGCTGATGAGGCAAAAGTCACAGTCTGTGATAAGCGGATGCAGGATGCCTGGCACAGTGTTGGAGCGGTGCATGTGTGCCTCGGCCTCTGGGGGCACAAGGCTGACTCTTCTTGCCTAAGCACAGCAAATGCCAGCTCTGGCAGCAGCCTGAACACACCCCATGTTCATCCCTACTTCAGGGCACGGACGCTTGCCTCGCAGTAGCCTATTTTACACAGTTACCCTGTGTGCTGAGAGAGGGACACAGGTGCGGTGATAATGTCACTCAGAACAAAAAGTTCCGTTTTCCACATGGAATCAGTGGTGTGAGGGAGGGCACAGAGCAGGGAGTTGAGAAGATAGGTTTTCTCACCAACAGACAACAGGACCTGACAGAGAACATCATTGAAGTCTATCAATGTAGGTCTGTGTTAATATGAATTCTGAGTTATAAGATCATGAATTTTAAAAAGTTAACTAAGTTTAAAAACAATAAAAATTAAGGCCCTCCATGAAACTTGAAGGGAGTTCATTTTGTTTAAGAAAGTACTAGCCCTGGCTGGGTTGGCTCAATGGTTAGAGTGTCGGCCTGTGGACCAAAGAGTCGTGGGTTCAAGTCCAGTCAAGGGACCGGTGCCTCAGTTGCATTTCAATCCCTGGCCCTGGTTGGAGTCGTGTGGGAGGCAACCAATCGATGTGTCTCTCACATTGATATTTCTCTCTGGAAGAGTATCCTCCAGTGAGAATTAAAAAAGAAAGTAATTACTAGATTATACATAGAATAAGAACTAGATCCTATTTCCTCCAATATTAAATAGCTGACAGTGATGAATCTGAATGGCCTGTGGGCCTCTGCTTTTGTTAATGAAGTTATTTTGGAGAATAGCCACTCCATTCCATGTATTTTTTGTGGCTGCTTGGTGCCACTAGGGCAGAGGTGAGTAGGTGTGAAAATTGTTTTGCCCGCAAAGCTGAGAATATTGACTGTGCACCTGCTACTTTAGAGAAGAAGTTGCAGACCTCTGCCCTGCGGCATCCGCACCGATTTCGTCCATCTGCCTTTCCCAGTGCTGCTCAGCACTGGGGAATTCCCTCTGTGCACTGGGAGCTCTGTCTTGAGGCACCTGCACCCTGAGGCTTGGGGGTTCATCTCTGTTTCTGTAGCGCAGCATCACCCTGTCTGTTCCCTGGCTTTTCTCATCCTGCACAGTAAACACCACCTGGAAGTCTTTCTTATCCAGTCTTAGAATCTCTGCCTTTACATTGGGGTGCTTAATTCATTGATTTTAATGGAATTATTGATAGGCTTGGGTTTAAGTTGACCATTTTGATGTTTATTAGTCCCCCTATGTTTCCTCTTTTTCTTCTATTTTTTGATGAGAATTTGTGCAGGTCTGCCTCCTCTGCTGAGTTTACACTGGGTTTGTGTGACTGTAGTTTCTCTGGAAGTCACTATGAGAGTGTAGCTACTCAGTCCCCTGCAGAGTGCTGTCCCAGTGCCTCCGCGGTGTCCTTCGACCGGCTAGTCCTCGCACTTCGGCATGTGCTCAGAACCCCCAGACCATGTCTGTGTTAACTGTCAGGGTCATCTCTGTCATTGCAGCAGAAATGTGTTTACAACAGTCCAGATATAAAGCAGTTTCATGGGAAACAGTGCTATGTTATATGTAAGAGTCCCACAAAGGAACATGGCAGTCTTATCAGGACTGCTGTCTGGTTGTGCCCGAGGGAACGTGCCTGAGGCAGCCACGAAACAGGCAGAAGGCAGTAGTGAGCAGCAGGAGGGTGGGCCAGCATGTTATACCTCCACCGTAGGGGCTCTGGCTAACACTTTCACGGGACCGCATGCACATGGAGTACATCCCTGGTAATGGACAACCTAAGGTGGCGATAGAGGACAGAGGTCCCGGCCGGGCCCCTTTGTGGATCTATACCAGTGGTCCTCACTGCTCCCCCAGAGGACATTGGCCATCTCTGCACCATTTTCATTCACAGCCAAGGAGGGAGCTGCCTGGTAGAGGCCGGGGTGCTACTCCACGATTCTGTGGGGTACAGTGTGCACCCACAAGGAATTCTCTGGTCCAAAATGTCTGATTTTGAAATGGAACAAACTGGATCTGGACGAATAAAAACACGAGTTAAGTTTGCTTAGTATAAAACATTATTTACAGAAAGTGATTTCAAATTAGACGTCTGACAAAGGGCTTGTTGAGTGACATCTTTTTCCTTTGCTCTAACTACCTACCTTCTATATGATAACAAATCAAAGTTACTGTAGAAACTTCAACAGTTAATAAAGTCATTCTTCTGAGTTTCTGGAAAGCCTTGCTCAAGTGTTGAAGGAAACCCAAAGCCATGTAGTATAAGTTCTATGTTAGTCTCAGCTGATAAATCACTGACTTGAAGTTTTTTTTTAGGTTTCTGATGTAGAAGAGCTTGGCCCCCCAGAGGGCCTTTCAGATCTGCCCCCGTTTTCAAGGTGTTTAATAGGAATAATCATGAAGTCTCCAAGTGTGGTCAGGTAATTATTGTCGCTGTCCTGATACTTGTACTGTGGCTGCAGCGCGGCCGCCTGCTCTGACAAAGACATTCCATAGAATTTCCTCCTTTTATCAGTGATTTAAAATATTCACATTATTCTAGACGTGTACTTATAATGTGAAATACCTACATTTTACTGTATGCCACAGTATGCTAATACATTGTAAACATCACATGCAACAGCTGTTCTACTTGTAGAGCCTTCCTGGGGCTGTGTAAGTGGATACAAAGTGGAGTTACTCTAACTTTCGGTAAAATACATTCACCAAATAGTCTCGTTTGCTTCTTATAACTGAAATTCAACTACAGTTGTCCCTTGTTTATCGCGGTTAATCCATTTCAGACTCTACAGTTGCACCTGGTGTTGAAGGATTCCTGGGGTGCTCAAATACATAGGCCTACAGTTCATATGTACAGTAGTTTTAATTTTAATTGTAATACACGGGTGTATAATTGACTCAGACAACCGAGTGCACACTGTCTCGATCAACTTTTTAATTAATTTATTTGAAAAGACCGCGATAGAGTGAAGCCGCGAAAAGTCGAAGTGTGAAGTGGCGAGGGGCAACTGTAGGGAAACTTTCAAAATGTCCACGTATAAAAGCCTTGGTACTGTGTGTGCTCCCACAACTTGCCTCGGGGAGACACCGCCATGGCATTCTGCACACGCTCTCCACGAAGTTCTCACTCATGCCACCTGCCCACGGTCCTGGACTGTGGCACATACAGGACGGTGGGTTAAAGAAAGAGCAGTTTTGCAGATACTGCAAAGTGTGGAAACTGGAATTCACAGGGGTTAATGAATCTTCCCTATGTTTATCTGTCAAGTGTTAGGCTGTGTACTATTGAGTAATTTCAGATGTTCGTTTTTTTGCAGGTCATTTTTAGATGAGTTAAAGGCGTGTGTTACTTCTGACGATATTGAAGGAATTGTGTGTCTCACGGCTGTTATGCATATTATTTTGGTTATTAACAAAGGTTGGTTAAATTGCTCTCATGTGTGGGCTATTGCTGGCTCTGCTTTAGTCAGAACTGCTGTGGAGCGTCTGGGGACTCAGCTCCCATGTTCAGTGACCTGCTGCTCTGACACCTGTCTGCCTGGCTCCCTCCACTCTCTGAGCCTGCGCCTGCCACAGCCCCATAGCCTGAGCTTTTTTTTGTTTGTTTTTCCTCACCCGAGGATATTTTTCCATTGATTTTTAGATAGAATGGTAGGGAGGGAGGGTGGGGGGCGAAACATCGATGTGAAAGAGACGCATTGATTGGTTGCCTCCCACACGACCCCAACCAGGGCTGGGGATCAACCCTACAACCCAGGTACATGACTGGGGATCGAAGCTGCAACCCTTCGGTCTGCAGGCTGACGCTCTAGCCACTGAGCCAAACCAGCCAAGGCAGCCTGAGCGTATTAATGCAGTTTCTGTCCCCATCACCTTTCTCTACTGGGCCCATTCCGTATCCCGCCTGTGCCTCAGAATGGAATTTCTATGGATTTGTCATTTATTACCTGTGCTTAAAAATCCGAATATGTTTTTGCTAACGATGGTGTGTTTTGGTGTTAATGTATAATGTGTCTTCTGATTTGCTTAAGCCTTGATTAACCTTGCCTGTTATGACTTTCCCAGCTACTGAAATAGCACTGGGACAGCATCTGGAGAGCCCGTAGCCTGCTTCCTTCAGTGCACATGCAGGGACTTCCTGCAGATAGATTGCCGCTGACTTTAGTTTCCATAATGTTGAAATTATTTTCTGAGCTAATATGTTACACTTAGAGAGGGCACCTATGGAAATGAGCTCCCCCCATAAGCCTGACTGTGACTGTGTGTACGTTTGCAGTCGTATAATACTTTGTAATTGGTTTGCCCCAGGCCAGCTATCAGAAAAGCTCCCCTAAGGGAGTATCCCAAGTAGAGATCTGCCGGTGAGGGGACCTTCTCCATGTGGAGGGTGTGAAAGTGGAGGTTGGGTTGCTGATGAACGCCTCGTAAATGGGGGGACTCTGAAATGTGCTAGTTGTCATTCTGACGGGCACAGGTGAGCGTGCACTCTGAGTAGGCTGCTGGCCTCTTCGTCTGGGCACTGTCTGCCTCAGCTGCCAGGAGCTTCATTGACATTCCACCCTCACTTCCCAGGGGGGTGGCAACTGCTGTTGTGGTCAATAAGTGGGTTAGCTCAAAGGGACTGGGGGTGTTCAGTCGCGTTGAAATTGTGTCTGCATTGATGGCAGAGATGTCTGTCTCCTATGGTCGTGTTCAAGTCTTTTTTCTGTCTTTATTACACTTACAGGTAAACATAAAAGTTCAAAAGTGAAGGATGTTGCAGCCGCTGTTCACAGAAAACTAAAGACGTTCATGGAGATCACTCTGGAAGAGGACAGCATGGAAAGGTAAAGCGCTGGTCACACTGCAGGGGTAATTGTCTGAAAGGTCCCAGGTATTCTTAGGGGGCTCTCACACCACGTGCTCACTTCTCCTTGCGGCCAGGTAGTTAGAACACTGAGGATAGTAAGGATGGAAACGTGTGTTGGCAACACCCCTTGGACATATGTTTTTGTTTGTTTTTTTATCCTCACCCAAGGACACTTTTCCATTTTTTGTTCAGATAGAGTGGGAAGGAGAGAGAGGGAGAGGAGAAACATTGACGTGAAAGGGACACATCAAGTGGCTGCCACCCGCATGACCTGACCAGGGCCCGTAGCAGGAACCAAACCCAGGTCTCTCTGGAACGCAGGCTGACACTCTAACCACTGAGCAAAACTGGCCAGGGCCTTGGACATATGTTTAATTTACTTCTATGTCTGTCTTCAAATACAAAAACAAAACTTATGTTTGTAAAATATTATCTAGAAAAGTAAGGGCATATGAACTTACTTTTTAAGTTATTTTTCATGGTTTGTGATGTTTTTGAAACCACGAGCCCTTCCACAGGCGTTCACACTGGGGATGGGAAGTCCCTCCAGGGACTGCAGGAATACAGATCATTTCTCCTGTCGGGTGGCCCGTTGCTGCCATGGGGCCTGCTGCCATGGGGCGTGTTCACTGGGCTCCCTCTGCAGCCTCTGTTTGCTGCTGTGCAGTGTCCTGCAGATGCTCACAGTTGTGTTTGACTCTTCGATCAGCCACAGAAAGTGTTTTTTCCTACTGTTTTGTCAACTTAAGTTTACAGAGCTCTAGGTAATCAGTTTTATACATTCCTAGGAGACTAGCCACTTTCTCCTTTGGAGAAAGGCTTTCAGAATCCTAAATTGCTAACTAATGAACGAAGGCAGTATTTTTTTCTTCCTTAGCAGTCTATACCTTTTCTTCCCTTTCCTGCCTATTACATCACTAGGACTCCAGTACAATGCTGAAGAGGGTGGCGAGAGGGCACGGCCTTGTTCTTGGTGTGGTGGGAGATTGTGTGCATGTTCTCATCAAGTTGATGAGTTTCAGTTCATCCCAAGTTCATCAGTTTTTGTTATGGATGATGGCTGCTGGATTTTATCAGTAGCTTGTTTTGCATCTATTGATGTGATCTTTTTTTTTTATTTATTTTTTATTTTAGGGAGAGATAGAAACATCAATGAGAGAGAACATCGATTGGCCACCTCCTGCATGCCCCACACTGGGTATTTGATCCACAACTTGAGCATGTGCCCTGACCGGGCAGGCATCAAACCAGTGACCTCTTGGTGCATGGGTTGACACTCAACCACTGAGCCACACTGGGCGGGCTCTAAAGTCAATTTTTTAAAAAATCCTCATATCTGTAGCTCCTAAGGTGGGAAGTAGATATAAGGCAGTTACCAGATTTTTTAAAATGTATGCATTTGAATGTTCATATATGATTTAAACTTCTTGAAGAAAAATTACAATTTAGTAAGGAAACTTTAATCTGGTAGTAAGAGGACAATTAAAACCAAGTGAGCTAATACTTCCACTTCTACCACTGCTATTAGTATTACTGATTTCTGTTAAACATTTTTTATACTAAGATCTTTTTTTTTTTTTTGGTAGTTTTTATTTATTTATTTATTTTTATCTTGATTGTTGAAAGTATTACACATGTTCCTCATTTTTCCCCCATTGACCCCCTCCACCCTACTCCCGTCCCCCTCCTGCCTTTCCTCACACTGTTGTCTGTGTCCATTGGTTGTGCATATATGCATATAAGTTCTTTGGTTTATTTCTTCCCACCCCCAGCCTCCCTTCCCTTTGAGGTTTGTCAGTCTAGCAACCAATTTCTACTTCTTAATCCCTTCACCTTTTTCACCCATTCCCCCAACCCCCCTCCCATCTGGCAGCCAACAAAATGTTCTCTGTATCTGTGAGAATGTTTCTGTTCTGCTTGTTCATTTTGTTTGTAGATTCAATTGTCGATAGATATATATTCATTGCCATTTTGTTTGTTCATATTTATCTTTTTCTTCAAGAAGACCCTTCAACATTTCATATAATAATGGTTTGGTGGTGATGAACTTTTTTAGCTTTTCCTTGTCTGGGAAACTCTTCATCTGTCCATCGATTCTAAATGACAGCTTTGCAGGATAGAGTAATCTTGGTTGTAGGTTCTTGCATTTCATCATTCTGAATATTTCTTGCCACTCCCTTCTGACCTGCAAAGTTTCTTTTGAGAAGTCAGCTGACAGCTTATGGGAACTCCCTTGTAGGTAACTAACTGCTTTTCTCTTGCTGCTTTTCTCTCTTTGTCTTTAATCTTTTATGTTTTGATGATGATGTGTCTTGGTGTGGGTCTCTTGGTGTTCATCTTGTTTGGGACTCTCTGTGCTTCCTGGACTTGTATGTCTGTTTTCTTCACCAAGTTAGGGAAGTTTTCTGCCATTATTGTTTCAAATAGGTTTTCGATTTCTTGTTCTTTCTCTTCTCCTTCTGGCACCCCCAAGATGCGAGTATTGGCACGCTTGAAGTTGTCGCAGAGGCTCCTTACACTACCCTCATTTTTGGGGATTCTTTTTTCTTTTTGCTGTTCTGTCTGGGTGTTTTTGCTTCCTTATATTCCAAATCGATGGTTTGCTTATTGGCTTTACCTACTTTACTATTGAATCTGTGTAAATTATTCTTTATTTCAGTTAGTGCCTCCTTCATTTCTGACTGGTCCAATTTTATGCTCTTGAGGCCCTCACTAAGTTTACTGAGGTTCTCATTAAGTCCATTGAGCATCCTTATAAGCCGTATTTTGAACTCAGCATCTGTTAGGTTGCTTATCTCCATTTTATTTAGTTCTTTTCCTGGGGTTTTGTTCTGTTCTTTCATTTGAGACCTGTTTCTTTGTCTCCTCATTTTGTCTGCCTCCCTGTGTTTCTTTTTATGTGTTACTTTACACGCTGTATGGGGCTAGCTGAAACCAGATGCTGCTTGTTTGAAAGAATTTAGGAAAACCTGAAGCAGGATCAAGATAGGCCAATCCTATGGTAAAGCAACTGGCAACAGCTTGGGTGGGCTTGAAAGTCCGGTGGGACGGGGCCTCAGGGAATTACCAGGGCAGAGAAAACAGTGTGAGCCAGGTGCTGGAGTCCCAAAGGCCTCCGACAGCTCATCTGTCCTGGAGAAGGCCCCCTCTCCAGCCCTTGCTCCAGTGCCAAACAGCTCAGTTCTTCCCTTATGTCTCTGGCGCCCCTCGAGCTGCCTCCCCTCTGAGCTTAGAGGGAAAGAGTCCAATAAGTCCATGCGCGGGCCCTTTAAGAGGAGCTGCCTGGGGCTCCAGGTGCCTCAGCCTCCCTGAGCCTCAGTTCCTGCTGGTTTTTCCATCCAGAAGTTATGGGGACTTTTCTTCCTGGCACTGGAACCCTGAGCGGGCCACCTGGTGTGGGACTAGGACCCCTCAGTCCTTAGGGAGGACCTTCCCAGCCGAGGTGTCCTCCTGATTTTTATCCGCCACACATGGGTGTGGGAGCAGCCCGTCCGCCCCTCCTACCAGTCTCGATGTGGCTGCTTCTTTAATTCCGTAGTTGTAGGACTTCCATTCAGCTCGATGTCAGGCGGTTCTGAACGTTGGTTCTGTAGTTAGTTGTAACTTTGATGTGGTTGTGGGAGGACACGATACCACATTTACCTATGCCGCCATCTTGACCAGAAGTGTGATCTTTCTTCTTTAGCCTATTGATGGGATGGATGACATTAATTGGTTTTCAGCTGTTAAAGCTTGCTTCTGTCATCACCAATAATGTGGATGAATGAAAACTGCGTAAATAAGACAATCTTTAACAAAGACACACATTGCTCATCTGATGTTGTTTTCTCAAAGAATTGAGTGCCTGCCTCCCGCTGGCTGTGGCAGTGCCCTCCGCACGTGGACACAGCCCAGGGCGTGTGCAGGGGCGGCTGTGAGGGCTGGCTCTGGTGTGAGCCTAGAGACCCTCAGACTCAGGTGGATGAGCACGTCGCCAAGTTCAAATGTCTCACACAGAAGTAGAAGCCTGTGTCAGGTTTGTCTGAATTGGTTGCTGTTTCCTCCAGCTCTACAGTTCCACATTTCATTCTTTTTGTCCTTTAATAATAATTATTTCTTTGGTCTAAATAATGTATGTCACCCTTTCCCCCAGTGTTCTTAGTCCAAGGCTCTTAGAGTAATCAGAAGATAGATAGCCCTGGTTCAGACCAAACTCTTAACACTGGTTTGGTCTCGGGCAAGTCGGCCCGGATACTTTGCTTATGAAAGGAGCATGTGTGATCCCCAGAGGCCCGTGTGTGCTGGCTCTGTGCTTGGTCCAGAGGGACGATAGCTATGTCTTTACTAGTCCAGACTGAGATCAACTTGAGTGGCTGATTACTCGAGAGTTAATAAGCACTTTAGCCAAGGTAACCTAAATATTTTCCTCTTAAGTATTTTAAGTTGAGTAACTGGGGTGTTGGTGACTTGGTGTGTCCTGTGTCCCTGTCTCAGCTCCTGGGTGTGACAGAGGGTGTTTTCTTCTCTCTGGCCACCAGGGAGCTCGAGTCTGGCTCACACTGGCCCTCGTGACCATTCTGGTCTCTCTAGTCCCTAAACGGCGGGCCCAGGCGGGCAATGTCTTCTCTGTCACTGTGGCTGGGGTCCTCGAACGCTTTGGGAGCATGGGGAGTGTTGGAGTTTCCTCAGGGTTCAGAGGCCTTGCTTGCTGATGTGGCAGCAGCTTCCATGGGACTTGTACCCCTCACTGTCCACCACCTCTGCTTCCACCTGAGTGTCTACTGGGCACAGACCAGAACAGCCACACACAGGGTGACCCAGCAGTTAGAGAGGAGCAGTCAGGACAACCGTAATGAAGGTGCAGTGGGACCAGCGGATGGTTGATGATGAGTCAAAAGAAGAAATCACTTGTAGCCCAAAGTGTGGTCCACTAAACCCCTTGAATGGAAATGTCAGCCCCATGCAGGAGCTGTCACTGTGGAGAGAGATTCCAGGTGGTCTGAAGGGCCGAGTCCGAGGAACATTCTCAGAACAGATGCTGATGGAGAGAAGGGATGGGGACAAAGACCAGAAAAACAGACCCGAGACAGGCATTGACTTAATAACGAGAAAATTTCCCAGAGCTGAAGAAATGTGTGATTTTAAAGATTTTGTTGTTGTTTCTTTCATTAAATTTTGGATGGATTGATAGGGAGAAATCACACCTGAGTGTCAGTAAAATCTCTGAATTCCAGGGATAAAGAGAACATTTTAAAATGTTTCTAGATCTGTGCCAGCCCCTGCGCTGGCCGCTCACCCTCTGTGGATATGAGTGCATGGGCTGCGGCCAGAGCATGGCCTGAAAACCAGGTTCTGGAGACAGCAAGAAATGATTATGGAGCTTGTCAGCTGTGCTTTTGTATTGATTACAGGTCGCTGTATTTTGGGTATACTGGGCTAAATAAAAAATATTAAGTTGAATTTCACCTGATTCTTTTGATCTACTGTAGAAAGCACAGTTACATGTGTGCTTGTGCTGAAACTAGACAGGGCTGCTGTGGGCCGTGGTTGGGCCATCTCCACGGGGAGCAGGATGTAGGGGCACTGGCTGAGGAGATGTCATTTAGGGTAAAAATTGGTGTTTGTGTCTAGACAGGAATTGAGAGCTTAGCTGGCCTGTGTACCCTTTGCAGGGAGTGCTGGGGACCCTTTCGGAGTTTTGGGCGATTAGAAGAACAGGAGTAGGGTGGACCTGAGCATGTAAATATGTCTTTAAGTCTCAAGGAGGGAGATGCACCCGCTTGCCCAGTGAGGCTCTTGATGTGGAGTAGACTCCTCCACGGAGTTAGGATGAGGTCCTAGAAAGGAAAACTCAGTGGGCCTGCCCATACCTGGCTCAGCGGGGCAGGCAGAGGAGAGGCGTGTTACCTGGGGGACAGGCGTGCAGGATAGGGGTGGAAAAGTAAGGTTTGTCTGAAGGTCTCAGGTGATTGAGCCAGTGGCTGAGTGTCATGGTAATAGCGCATCCTCCTGCCTGTGTTCCATGTGGAAGGGAGAAGCTCCTGGTGTGGGTGCTGGAGGGGTATATGCACACATCCTGGCTCAGAGCCTCCTGACGGAGAGCACTGTCTGTGAGAAGGCCCACCTGTCGTAACCGTGGCAGTGAGCACCTGCTGCTGGATAGCAGTATTTGATCTGTGGAGGGTTCCTTGGGGGACCCCTGAGCTGATGCGTAGGGACAGTGATGACCGCTGCATTTACCGACAGCTTGTCCATGTGCTGTGTATCCGCTGAGACAGTGGGGTGGCTAGTTGGTGAGACAGTGACTGGTTGTTTCAAGTGTATTTGGTTACAAACCATTTTTAGATTTACTTTGTGAAAATGTACATTCAGGTAATTTGGTCAGTTATTTCTGTAGCTAATAAGTTATTTTTTCTTTGTGTTTCAGATTTCTCTATGAATCATCATCGAGAACTTTGGGAGCATTTTTGAATTCATAACCAAGCCAACATCTTTGGTTATGTAAAAATAGAGAAAAGGGACTTAGAGAAAATGAAATGAGTCTGTATTCTAGTGTTTTTAATGTTAACACCCCAGATAATAGAGCAGGTGGGATTTATTTGGGGAAAGTGTGAGTAGGAAGCTTAAAGGTTCTTAAATGTTTGCCCGGTGCCTGCAAAATAATATATTTAATGTAAAGGACTCCAGAAACCCATGGGGCAAAGAAAAAGACATTTCTTGCAAACGTGGTTTTAAAAATGACTTATTTATATATCTCTATATATATGTATGTATGTATAATATTGCAAACTGTAATAAAGCAATGAAGACATTGGTCTGTATACTTTAAAAGGTGAAAGATTTATGCGATCTGAAGAGAAACCAGCATATGGGTCTGTATACTTTAAAATACTAGTCTGAGTTCTCCCCCTAAGGACAGGTGTTGAGTTCTGGGGGAGTCTGTCTGCCACCAGGAGAAGGCACTGCAGTGGAGGCTATGGCCATGCAAGGGATGGCCACATGAAGGGGCATGGAGCTGCCTCCCTGAGGTTGAGATGGGCCCTGCGGTTGTAAATGAGAGTCATTCAGTCTGAGGCTGAACTGTTATTTTATCTTTTTTTCACGAGAGCCCATGGACAACTGGTTCCCTGTCTTCCTGGCTACATCGTTCTTGACTCCATCGCGCCCACCCTGGTTACCAGGAAGTCTCCACATTCATTGCTGATCCCTGTTGGCATGGCCCTAAGTTGTGGCCGGTCAGCACCCTGGGACATGGACGTCCTCCACCTTGACAGGTGGGAAGGGAGTTCCTCAGTCACATGCCCATTCTGTCCTCAGCCCCCTGGCAAAAGAGTAAAGAAATGCCAGGTTTCAGGGCCTTTGTTTCCCTAAGATGCATAGGAATGGACTGCTCACTGCAGTTAGGGCTTTAGGGCCAGGCTTGACCCAGTGACTGCCGGGGTAACCCAAATGTTCATTCATGAGTGTCCATAGCAAGCCAAGACGTCTTTGCAGAAGAAAAGAATCACATGCTGCAAAGTGCCTGCTCACGCTTCGAGCTTGTACTTGATCCATGCCATCGTCCACAGGCTGCGGCGGTCTGCACAGACACCTTGGACATGCTTGCAGCAGTTGTCAACCTGTGAGTCGCGGCCCCTTTGAGGGGTCAAACGACCCTTTCACGGGTCGCCTAAGACCATCGGAAAACATATATTTCTAATGGTGATTCATAACAGTAGCAAAATTACAGTTATGAAGTAGCAACGAAAATAATTTTATGGTTGGGGGTCACCACAACATGAGGAACTGTATTATAGGGTCGTGGCATTAGGAAGGTTGAGAACCACTGGTTTAAGGCAAATGACAAACCAGTTTGTCCTATAGGTGGGAAAGCTCCTTTGGATTTGGGCCTCACAAAATTGGCAGGTTTTAGATCCACCCAGGAAGTGGTCAGTGGCACACCTTCAAGTCCCAAGGGTTCCTGGGGATTGCTCGTCTTCAGGTGGGCGGGCCAGCTTCCATATGTCCACATGCCCCACCAAGCGACATGGAGGCCTTGCCACTTCGGAGTCTCACTGGCTGGTGTCGGTTGGCCGTGTGATGTGCTCTGGCCTTGGCTTAAGGTGGGTGTGAGGCTGCTGAGTGCAAGCTGAGTCTCCTGTGCAGGTGAGGACATTCACGCATGCCAAGACCCTCTGCCCTCTACATGCCAAGTTGGGGTAGAGTCATGATGGGAATCCCTGCCTGGTATTGTTCAAATCTCTGACAAAGTACAGATCTCTGAAGTTCCAGAGAAACAGGTATTTTAAAAACAAAATTAATACTTTCTCTGCAGTGAAAACCACTGAGCTTAAGTGAAGGGTTTGATGGGTTAAATATATCCAATCACATACCCCACACTCCAATTGAGATCAGAACATGTCCATCACCACAGGATAGTGACACCTGTCCTTGGACCTGGTGACATGTCTCTGGCTTCTCACAACTGCAGGCTTGTAGTTCTTGCTTCCTGTTTGTTGACATGTCAAGTTTATGCTCCTTCATGGCATTGATTGTTTTAATATTTCTGTAGGGAAGGGACCTCAGACACTCTTTTCAGCAGTTTTCTTGTTCCGTGGGTACTAATCTGTAGTCGTACACACACAAACTAGGTAAGTGGTGTGGGCGGGTTTGGGGGCCCACCTTGGTAGACCAGGTGGCATCCTGGGTTACAACCAGCCACGTCACTGTTCTGCAGTCCCTGACGTGTCAACACCTGCCTTTCCAGGCCCAGGACTGGGACCGGTGATGGGTAAGCCCTTCAGGAGAGGAAAGGATAGTTAATGGGACACGTGCTGACTGCCCGAACCCCTGAAGTGGATTGTGAGAGGCCATAACCTCACATGGAGGTTGGTCTGTTTACCAGACCTAGGTTAAATAAGCCAAGTAAGAATTTCATAGGCTAATTGTCTAGTTTGGTCCTAGAAATCCCAGGATCGGTTAGTAACCAGCAACCCTGTTAGGGATTCTGCGCCTTCCTCCGACCTTTCCTGCTCACATGGCTCTCCAGACTTCCTGTGCCTTCCTGGCAGGAGTTCCTAAGCTTGCTGCCTTGTCTTCCTCTTGCAGAGCCCAGCTAGGTGTGTTCTCTCAACACACCCATTCACACTTGCTCTCTGTGGCACTTGCACACATACCCCCACAGTTGCACCCAGGCCTTTAGGAAGTAGTCTCCTGGGGGGTTCACAGGTCCTCAGCCTTAGTGCCCTCACTGACCCTGGGACAGTGGTCAACGTAGGGCCAGGCTACCTGGAGGAGGGGAGGACTCCAGGCAGACCCCACCTCTGAGCCCACCCTCACTGGGAATCCTGCCCCCTGACAAGTTGAGAGCTCAGGAGGGTCTTCCACTCTCTAGCTCTCCTTTCCAGGTTGAGGACCCCCCACTCCCGCCCGCGGCAGCCACACACACACTCTGACCCTGCACAGCTGGAGCTCCTGCTTCAGGTGTGGTTCCGACCCAGGTCTGTGGCCAGCACATCGGAATAAAAGTGAGCAGGAGTTCGGTGTTCCTGCAGCACCAGCCCCACCTCTGCCCACCAGCCCCGGCTGGCTCCGCGAGGGTAGTGCCGGTGGAGGGTCCGTCGGGGCAGAGGTTCCACTTCCCATCCCAGCACAAAGGTGCCGCTGACTCCCGCCGAGCTTTGGGCGCAACCAGGGCAGGCAGTGACTTCCACCCCCAAACTGGACCCCTGGGGTTCCACAGGGGTCCACTGGGGCGTGTGGGTGGGAATGGGGTCCACGGAGGGTGACGGGGTTGCGCGAAGGTCTGGAGAATTCGGCGGGGCAGGAGAGGCAGGGGTAGAGGTAGGAGGAAGGGCTGGGGGCTCAGGGAATGAAGGAGGTACCGCGAGGGAGGCTGAGTGTCCGCAGGTGGAAGGGAGCCGGGGGCGCGGGGGGAGCCGGGGTCATGGGCCGGAAGGGCCGCGGGCCTGGAGGGGACTGAGAGCAGTGCTCGCGACGACCTCCTGGCCGCTTGGGGCGTGCTGGGGGCGGGGCCTGCGGGCGGACGCGCGTTGGGGCGTGCTGGGGGCGGGGCCTGCGGGCTGACGCGCGGCAGGCTGCCCTGGAGGGTGGGGCGGCATGGGGGCGGCACAGGGGCGGGGCCTGCGGGCAGACGCGCGGTAGAGGCGAGCCCTCTAGCATCAGGGGCGAGTCGGGGGCGGGGCCGGGGCGGGGCCTGCGGGGGGCCGCGCGGCAGAGGCGTGCCCTGGAGCAGCAGGGGCGTGTCGGGGGCGGGCTCGGGGCGGGGCCGGCAGCGCTGTCCGGTGCTGAAGCCGCGGCGGCGCGGAGCGCAGAGAGGAGAGGCCGCCATGGACTGAGCGCCGCCGACATGGGGCCGCCGCTCGCGCTGCTGCTGCTGCTGCTGCTTCTGCCGCCGCGCCCGCCAGCCGCGCCCGCGCCCCTCGCCCGGCCGCACCCGGGGCTCCTCGGTGAGTGGGGGTGGGCGGGGTGCGGAGGGGGCCTGAGGGAAAGAGGGGCGGGGATGCGGTGTCTCTGAATGAGGGGCTTGGGGGAAGGGCGCCTAAGGAGATGAGGTGTTGGGGGAGGAGCGCCCCTGCGTGAGGGCGAGGGGGTCTGAGGGAGTGGGGGTTGGGGGAGGGGCACCTGAGGAAATGGGGGTTTTGGGGGAGAAGCGCCCCCTGCGGGAGGACGAGGGGGTCTGAGGAGTGGGGGTTGGGGGAGGGGCGCCTGAGGAGATGAGGGGGTGCGCCGTGCGCCGGGTGAGTGCGCGGACGGGGCTCCCGCAGGCGCGAGGTGGTGGCGAGTCCCAGCATGTCCGCCTCAGTCCCCCTGGGTCCGCCCCGTGCTCTGCCCTGTTGGCTGGCGTGGGTGCGCCCCGCGTGTCCGTGCCGCGTGCGGGGGGAGGGGGCCTGGGTCCCCGGCCCTGCGCGGCGCCGGGCCGCGCCCACGCCCCTCCCGCGGGGCCCCTGGCGGAGGCTCACCCCCGCCGCCCGCTCCGGGGCGAAGGGGACCGGCCAGCGCGGCCGCCGGCTCGGGCGTTTCCCGGTTCTCCCTGGTGGCCACGTGGCTCGGCGAGACGGAGGCAGGGCGCCGAGGGCCCCCCCGGGGTGCGGGCCCGGGGTGCGCGGCGTGTCCTGTGCCCACACCCCGGTGCCGGCAGAGTCGCCGCGTGCCCGGGGTCGAGGCCGCCCGCCCACCGCCCAGGGGCCTGCTGGGGCGGGGGCTCCCCGCTCAGCCCCCACCTGGGCTCCTGGGCCCCGGCCGGCCCGCTGTGCACCAGCCCCTGCGCCCAGTTCCCTCCTTCCTCCGGCTCGTGCCACCTCCTGCGGGAGCTGTTTGTTCAGCTGGCCGGACGCCACCCTCCACGTACACACAGGTCAGGGAGAAGCAGGGGCGCTGACGTCAGCCCTGGGTGTTGCAGGGAGGGCCTCCCGCGGGTGAGGGGAGCCGCTCCCGGGGGCTCCATCCCGGTCACTGCGCGCCCCTGGCCTTGGCCGAAGTCTCGGAGAAGGGGAGAGGGGGGCAGCAACGGAGCTGGAGCTGGAGGATGTGAAGAGGACACCGGTGCTGTGCTGGGTGCCGCGGTGGAATCAGCCCCGGAATGGGTGCCCTGTTCCCTCGCCGTGTGCCCCGGGGAGCCTCCTGGACACAACCTTTGTGGGGTCAGTGCCAGGCGCCCAGATCGGAAATGCCTGACAGTAGATGCAGACAGCAGGATGTAAGAGTGGTCCTCCCATTTTGGGACCCAACCTGGGGTAGCCTGGCCTACCTAATGCAAGCTCCCTGCACCTGCCCACCCCGACCTCTCCCCTGCACCCTCCTCACCCAGGGTGCTGCTGCCATGTCCTCAGAATTCACATACACGGACTCCAGAAAGTGCAGGAACCATGGTCACCCACGAAAGGCATGTGCTTCCATTTCTCTCTCCCTGCCATCTGGATCTTGTCTGATCGCGGTCACCAGCTTCATGATCCAAATAACCATGCAGACAAAAGGTGCCCCTTAGATGCAGCCTCAGCTACGTCACCTGTAGCCTGTTTATGTAGCTGTCAACTCTCAGCCTCAGGTGGAGGCCTGCGGAACACACCAGCCCTCAGAGGCCCACGTCTGTGCTCCTTTCTTGATCTCAGGGCCAGTGGGCACCCCACTTTCTCCCTTTCTTCAAGGGTGCCCTTTCCCCTGTAATCACGTCAGCTTCCTGCCTTTGCACCACCATGGGCCCCTGTTTTCCTGGTGCAGAAGCCTCCCTCAGGGCACCTAGTGTACCGTTATCTGTGACACTGTTTTCTCTTCTCTTCATTTACTCCCCTCTCTGGGTTTTCCTTTGCCCCCTCCCTCTGTCCTTCTCTATGATTTCAGGACATCCTTTTGTTTGGCGCTCAGTACTTTTTTCATAAATCTGACTTGCGTGTCAGCCCTTTGTCTTTAAGCCAGTCTTTGGTTACAGGGAGGCCAGTTTGTGAGCCTGCTCAGGCAACCCCACAGTCACATAAAAGACCCCCCTCCTTTTGCTAGAGAGACGATTTTCCTTTGCCAAAGGTCATAGTCAACCTTTCTCGCATATTTTGCTTAGAGAATCTGAAGTCAAACCTCACTCATGCACCTGTCTTTGAAGACGACCCAGTGTTTATTTTCTGTCTTTGTTTTTTGCCTCCCGATTTGCCCACACATATTTTTCATTCACCAGCAAGCCCACACAGAGCTAAGAAGGAGAGAGGAGGAGCAGGAGTCGGCTTCCTTTGTGAACTAGATGGCGTGATGTTTATTTTTAAGTCAGAGCATCCTTCCTCCTGCCACCGAAGCACAGATCCATCTTCGCTTCTTGGGATGCTGAGCCCTTGATCTTTCTCGTTGGTTGTAAGGAGTAAGAAGCCTGCCCCTCCCCCAGAGCGAGGGCCCTGCTGCCTTCCAGAAGCCCGACCCTTCCTCTGCCTGTTGTCTCCTCCTGCTCGGCTCCTTCACCCAGGTGCCGATGTTCCTGTGCGGAAGGATTGGGAAACATGGGAAACCCTGTGCTTTCAGGAAAGGGAGGGGCCGGACAGTGGGCTCACTCACAAAACCAGATGCATTGGATGGAACTAGCGTGACCATCTCCTGTGTCCAAAGATGGCAGTTAAATGTGTCAGACTCAGGAGGAATGTGTGGGGAAGAAGACAGGCTTCCAGAGGGTTTCCTGTCTCTGTCAAGCTCAGCTGAGGCTCAGCATCTGGCAGTTCTTCTTCTAAAGGCCCATCTGTTTTACTCCTGGTCACCAAGATCACCCTCAGTGTCCACCAGCAGATGTGGGGAGGGTGCCTTCTACTTTCCTCTGTGGGGGTGTTGGGCCCCACCACCTCGGCACATGCTCTAGGAACTCCTGTGGGCTGTGAAATGTCAGGATCTGTTGGGTCCTGGTGAAGAAGGGCAGCAGCAGGTAAACCTTTAGTTTGGACTGAGAAGGGCAACTCCAGGCTTGTCACCCCAGGGCATGTGTTTTGGTGAGCTCTGTGGCAACCGCTGATCGTTTTTTGTGATGATTTCTACATTCTGTTTATTTTGTAGTGCTTTTTACACGCAGTATCTCCCAGTTTGTGAATGTAGTTATTCACCCACTTTTCTGTGGATTTTTGAAGCTAGGAGTGTGGGGTGAAATATGCAGGAGAGATGGGAGCCCGTCGAGCTGTCATTACACACGGTCTTATTGAGCACGGTTTCCATTAATGTGACCTCTTGGAGCATTACATTAGAATTTTAAACTCCCTTATGAAAAAGTGTTTGTAACTAAATGTGGCCCAAACTAAAAATAACCCTTTGAGCTTGGGTGGCGGGTATTTAAGGTATGCCTGGATATGTGCAAATATTGCTTGTTTAAAGATTGTTTGTGTGTGGAAAAGGGGGGGGGGCTTAAGAAATGGGCAGAAAGGGTTTTTATTCAGATGTATCCTGGACGGCCCAGTGAGGCTCAGCTAACTAAGAACCTATCTTATCTCTTCTGACAAGATGTTCCATTTCCTGAGAAAGCAAACAGCTGAATTCAGGGCAGATACCCTCTGTGCCACACAAAAGCACCTGGCAGCTGTTTTCACACTAGTCTAAATTGACCTTTATAAATGTAGACCCAGCTGGACTTATTTTTTTTAATCTTGGTTGATAGGAGGCCAGAAAACCGGGGAAGCAGAAAATAGTCAATGCATTTTGCTGCTACCTGGAAACAGAGTTAGTTGAAAGCAGAAGGAAATTTCTTCTTTTAATTTGTGCTGTCTCTCGCAGCTCTGCCACAACCACTATTTAAATATCCAGGGCAGCAAACAAGAAGGGGTGTGGTCCTCCTAGAAACACTTATGTTCACATAGTGAGTGAGTTCTTTGTTTGTTAGTCTGCTTCTGTGTGGACTCGTGGGTGACTCCAAACCTAGCCTAAAGAAGTGGACTTTGGACTGAGGTGCAGATGTGCGATGCTCAAGGTCCATCTGTCTCTCAAACCTGCGTGTGATGTGGGCAGATAAGTAAGCTGTTCCGGGTTTTCGATGATCACTTGGTGTTGACTCTCTGTGTGTGGAGGTGGATAAGAGGTGTTTGATGTATTTTGTGTTTATCTCTTCCCTCCAATCATATTGATTGTGATTCAGAAAACGAAGGGATACATGCTGTCAGCCTGTGGGTCCTGGGAGGGGGGTTCAGGGCACCCGAAGGGAGGGGGCGAGCTGATACTATAAAACAGATTGGGGAGCTTCCTTTTTTTAGTTGAATTAAAATTATCATGCAGTGAAATGATTTTGTGTGTGTGTGCTGATCCACGTATGGATTCTGGTGACAGGGCAGAAGTCCCATCACCCAGCACAGCTCATACTCTTCCTCTTCCCTGTTGCCTGAGCCCTGGCCACCCCGGGAGCTTCTACCTATGGTTCCACATCCTCCCAGAGTATGGAGAGACTGAAGCTCGGAACGGCTCAGAAATACATGGCAGGACCCCAGGGCTGGGATTGGGCCCTAGGTCTCCTGCCTTCAGAGTCTTCCTTCCTTTTCCGGTGGGTGACCCCAGAATCGGGAAGGGTTGGCTCTGTAAGATACCGGTCTCAGCAGAAGGTTCTGCACAGGAGCAGGGCTGTCTGACTCTTGCTCTTATATGGACAGAAGCTATTTCCACTTGTCAAACTGCCTTTCTCTACGGAGATTCAGAACTTCTAAGAACCTCTAGGCTCTTTGGACCTATTTTAAGAAAATTTTAAAATGCTCTTTGACCGGGTAGAGGAGGGTGATTTCCCCGACTTGGGCTTGTTCTGGGTGTCAGATTCAATTATTTGGTTTGCCTCTCTGAGGGAATTTTGATGTTTGGAAAAGGATGACTTGTTTGGGGCACCTTGAGCCTACCTGGGGCAGGAACACAGGTGCTGCTGTAGAAGCCTGTGCTCGACGTGCCCCACCCTCTCCGCTCAGAGGCTGCTGGGCTTCTGTGCATTTGCCCCCTCCCCCCCCATCCATTCTCTATG